AAACCAAAGACTGGAAAATTACACCGTCAGGGAAGGTTGGAGAGGAAGCAGCAGTAGAAGAGCTGAGTTGTCAGCAGACCTTTTCCTCCTGCCAAGTGCAAAGTACACTCGACTCCCGACTCTTTCTTCGGACTCTCTTCCCTGTATAATTTGTGCACATTAGCACAACTGGCCAAGCAGACAGCGGACAGTAATAAGTAATTGCCTCAAGGGCCAGAGTTCGGCGCCCCCTCAAGGAACGATGACGATGACGATGACGACGAAGATGTGGTGTGGGTCAACTAAGTGCTTAAAACAATTGCTGCGGTTGAAGTCACTCTGCCGTAAAGTTATGACGGTCTGAAGTTAACAATCCATTGGAATACGTTGTGTGGGTTGAATTTTCAGACTCACAACTTATTGTGTACTCGCTTCAGGGATTGTGGATTGTGGCTGTTTTAATTGATGCCCGCCAAGTCGACGCAGTGTGTAAAAGTGCGAAAGATGTGGTAGAACTCTTGGTTGGATAACTGCTACTGCACACAAGTAAATTAGAAAGCGCCGCAGAGCGAGAAATGAGTGATGTGAATTGGGAAATAGATAAATGTCTAACTGAAAGCAGTAAGCGCAACTGTGAATTCGTTTTGGGAAAAGTATTTGGCTGGAAATGTATGAGAGCATCCTGAATATAGATTTAATAAGTCACAGAAACATTATGTGCAATTTTGAATTGGCCTCTTTAAAGAAGCTAAAGATTAGTAGAGAGCTAGTAAAAGATCTATACTCAGAAAATAAATCGCCATGAAATTTTGAAATTAGCCCCGACATATAGAAAGTTTTTTTGGTTCTTAGCAATAATTTCTAAATGTACGAAAAAATACTCCTATATAAAATATATATATATATATATATAATAGTAGAACATATTTCTATAAATGAACCCAAAGAAAGACAAAATCTTCGGTTTTAGAAAATACTTTGTGAAAAATAAAGTGAGTTACCTCATGTTGATTTTCTAAAGTTCGAGACGAATTTTTTTCTGAGTGTACAAATATTATCAGTAAATGCAGAAAGCAAGAAGAACACAAGCAATTGGGGCTGCAGAACATGTTCCTTGACTTAACGAAGGAAAAATAACTAGACCAAGTAATAAATTAGCATTCAAGATTACAGCGAACTTCTCCAATTTCCTCAAAAACAGGACTGAATTATAATAAATGAAGAAACTGAATGCAATCTAGAGCAGCTATATCTCAAATATTTGCAGTATACGCATTATCAAAGCAATTATAATAAAACAACAACTAAGTGCAATCTAGAGCAACTTATCTGTGTGCATTATCTAAAGAGTTTATTATTCCGACTCTTATTATGCGACAACTCAGTTTCAAGTGCTTTCGAGTGTTTGCCACTTGAGAAATAATCAAAAACAGTTGCGCTAAAAAGTTGAGTGCAGATGGCAGTTTTTAACTCTTATCAGAAAAGAAAAAATGGCCGGAAAGAGAATTATCGAAGTTTGAGTGCAAAACAAGAGAAAGGCAGATAGAAAACATTTACATGAAGATCTGTGCTAGGGTTCTATGGGCTTATCTCGGATTACTTTGGTTGTGTCTGGATGGAGTGCAGATGCCTAGGCGCTGGTTAAACTTGCACAATGTCCAAACGGATTGCATTACGAACTGTTTGTTGTTTTCCAGTTGGTTAAGTAAACATGATCTTGACTTGTCATTGTCAACGATAACCGAGCTGAAACGACAAACCCAACTAGCCCCCACTGAGCTACTTTTGGCATCAATTACCTGTCACATCACAAATTGGACTTACAAATTATAAACATTTCACCTGCTGCTCAGGCACCCAAAAAAAAAAAAAACATAAAAACGCAACTGTGTCAAATGCAGACAGAGACAGACCCCCTGCGATATTATTTCAACAACAGACCCTAATTATATTAGTGAAGAGACAGGCAGCTCCGTTGATATATTACCAGAGGGCACAGCAAGATACGCGCAATCTGTAGCAAACAAATCTCGGGTGAAAATCATAATGAGCTCTTGGAAAAACTCGAATTTTCTTTTACACTTTTTGCGTGTACTCTGCAACAATGTATTCGCTACAAAACTCTTTTGAAACAAGAACGATATTGTGGAGAGTGCTAGTTAAAAGTGTGTCTGTTCTTATTTTAACTACACAGTATTATACATTTGAAGTATACTTGATATAGAAATTACAAAAAAAAAGTTGGAAACATGCTGGTTGTTAAGTAAGTCTTGTATTGAATAACTTGAGTAATACAAATATTATGTCTGTACATTTCTACAAGTCTTATTTAAAGGTGACATAAGTATTGATAAAATAACTTGAGTAATTCAAATTCCAACTCAACATGCTACAAGTTTTATTTACAGGTGACGTTAATATTGATTGAGTAACTTGAGCAATACAAATTATATCTCAATCAATTTCTACAAGTTTGATTTAAAAGGATGACATAACTATTGTTTGTAGAACTTGACTATTACAAATAAGATTTCAATAACTTGATTCAAAAGCAAAACTGCTTTACAAAGCTGAACAAGCAAACTGAACTCTCCATTTCTGTTTTTATCTATGCACTTATGCAATTGATAGAGCATTTGAGATTCGTTCAGCGTCGTGCGGCTAATTTTAATTTAAGTCAAGCACAGGCGCTGTCAAGCATGACAGAAGGCTATCAAAAAACGAGCTGACAAAAGTCAGTGTTTTTTATTTTTTATTTTTTGGGTAGATGGGAAGGGGAAACGGGGATTGAATCTCAAACACAATTCAACACAAGCAGCTGAGACAGGTCTTGGGAAAACTGTTGTCGTAGATCTTGAGTCGTCGCCTGACAACTGAAAAGTGGCCACATTTCTCTATCATTGTTGTTGCTAAATTCTGTTAATAGTTTTATCTCTATATATCTCTCTCTCTCTTTCTCTGTGTGTCTCCTTCTCTCTCTCTCTGTGAGTTAAATTTACGAATGTGTGTTGCGTATGCAAATGGGCTAAAAAAAAAAAAAAGAAATGGAACTGCCATGAGAACATTTCATGTCATTTCAACGCTGACTTTTGTATCTGTGGCAGCATCTGAATGAAACCACTTAAATAAGGGGCGAAACTGCCACAGGCGCGATTGTTGTTGGCCAAGTTTTTTCTCCTCCTCTCCCCCTTGCAAACAATTTGGCAAGGTGTCGACTTAACACGCAGAGAAACTCTACTTTTCACGACTTATAACATTATGAGCTCTGTCCAAAAAAAAAAAAAGGCTGTGATAAATCTTAACTTGGCCAAGTGGCTGTGCAGAGAACGTTGTAATTGCTGGATGATTAAAAGAGGATTACGAAGACGCGAAAGTTGAGCAGAGAACAAGCTACAACAACATTTGACATTCGGGATTAAGACTGAGGCTTCTTGTCATGTCCAACAATCTTAAGCGACATTTATAGCCAAGTTATCCAAAAGTGAATTCCGATGAAGCCTCTGCTGAGAACTTTACTTTCTACGACTGCCAAGTGACACCAGCTTAAAGTATTCGCAGTAGTTCTTAATCTTTGATAAACAGGAAGTTAAACAATTTCAATTCAATACGACAACCATCACCTGGTTATAGTAAACAGATTCATCCGGCTGGAACCACATACATGTGGCAAATAGAATCTTCTTTATATGGCCACAACTTGAATACGTTTGCTTCAATACATTTTGGTAACAAATTATGCGAAACAAGTTATGTTCTTGAGCTACCAACAGTATCAACAATTCTAGTTGCCCAATTTGGTAATTTGAGCTGAAAAGCAGCTTAAATTTAGTTGTAGCTAGTGAGATTGAACAAAACAAAAAGAGCATATCTCTTCTTATATGAAAAGTCATTCAACTCGGGACGAGACCCTTGAGAATTGATACAAATTTGATACAATGTTGTTGCCTGTTTGCCTTTCTGGCCAAGTTGTTATTGGGCATTTTCGCTTTTGTGGTAGCGAGCAACAAATTGACAACGATGACAAGGCCTGTGGAGTCAACTGAAAATGGCCAAGTTGATCTCGAGCGATTAAACATAAATGGACAGAAGTGGGCCTCAAGCGTAATCGATGTGAAATTGTTTTTCACTAAATCAAAACGAAAACCTAAGTTGATCACAGAAGCCAACGACTTCTGCCACGTCTACAAAATAACAATAATAATAATAATAATAATAACAATAAAGAGTAGCCATCTAATTGGCCGCCTCTTTGAAAAATTGCGCTGCACACTCAATGCCTGGCTTAGATAAACGCAACGATAACGGCTTTGCTTTCATACGTAATTTGCTTTACGATTGGTAAATTAAATTAACTTGTTTACCATTAGCCATTATTACTCAGCTGCTGCTGCTGGCCAACTCCAACTCTTCGATGCCATGCCCAATGCAATATAACTGTCGTTAGATGGACACCACTCATTTTGCAATAATGTGCCACACATAGATATCATTCGTTTTGGCCAAGTTAACTGTCTTAATGACTCGGTTATGTGTTGTTGTGCCATTATATAAAATTTCACTTTTCTCGCATGCCGTCCAAAAAGGCTCGTTTTACAATTGTTAGTTGCAATTTCTTCTTTCGCTTTACAAAAAGTACAACCCTGGACACTGGACACATATTTAATGAGTTCGTTAATCGAGTGTTGACTGTCATCGCTGCAAATGTTGGTCATTAAGACAATGGGAAAGTTTTCGCAGCTCTCTTACACAATATGAATTAATTTGTTGACAAGTTGAGAACTCAACGATGGAAAACATTGTGAGTGTTACACTTCAACATCAACTTAATTATGATATGATATCATATTAATCTCACTGTCAACAAAGACTTTAAAGTTCTTTGTTTAATTAAGCATTGATCAAGGGAATTTGATGACCAATCTATGCAACAAATGTTGCACCCTTTTGCATTTAAATACCCGCAGAAATCGTATCTTTTCTGTTGACATTAAACAGATCAGCAAACAGTCGATCTTTTCTGAATCGCATAAACAAATTACTTTTATTGTGTTGTAAATGTTGTTAGTTTTACAAATTGGCTTGGCTCCACTAGAAGCAAGGATCGATGCTGGGCAAATCGCCGCTGCAGAATCTCCACACAGACCAGGCTGTCCAACCCTGAATGGATAGCACCCGCTGGGCACATCTCACCGCATTGGTAATATCATCGGTGCGAACAGTATCGCAGCTGAGACCGCAAAGGTTGCTGGACCGTCGGCCACGAGCCTGGCACCAGTAACGATCATTCAGCTGGAAGATGCCATGGTCATGGGAGCCATCCGTGTTGGCTGGTCCCACCACATGGGTGCGATAGCTGCTCTCTCGCTCAGCAATGCAGGTCCAGCGGGCCAGTTGATCGCGGGGAACGCCCAAATTGGACATCTCATTGGCCAAGGAGCAGCGATCCATGGTGCGTGCCAGGCCGGGTGCAACCAACGATGCCAGAACTGCCAAAGCACCAACAACAATATATACTTTCATCTTGTGTGGCGCCTATCCTACTGTTGCCCCTGTCCCAACCGATTTGCCGTATTTATAGTTGATCGATTTGCTTATGTGTGTGGCAGTTAAACAAGTAATCCAGCAACAATTATAAATACACAAATGACTTAATTAATACACTTTTATATTTAAATGAGATCAAGAAGAATTGAATGTGTATAAAATGTTGCGTATTGTTCTGATCAAAGAAAAGACTGTGCTCACAATTGAGTATTGACAATACTGCTGACATTGCGTATTGTAATCAAGTAATAAGTGATTATTATTAATACTCCTTTCTTCCATTAAAACAATGCGCAACGTGTTGAATAGTTTTGCACCAGGGCAATCCATAAATAGTCAACAATTCTAGGGCTTAGCAACTCGTAATTCCCAAAATTGTAATATGGAGAATCAATTGTTATACCTAATTAATGAGTCTACACTCAGAAAAAAGTCGCCCTGAATTTTAACGAGGGTTCCTCACATCATTATTCAGAAAGTAAATTTCTTAAATTGAATGAAATATTTCTAAAATAAATATATAAATCACAAAAACGCCAAGTATTATTCAATATGCACTTGATCAGCTGAAAAACAGCCGCAAATCTGCGACAAAGAGTTTGTCAATGGAGATAAGATCAAATCCAGTGCACAAGAAGTAAAACGAATACTCCCATTCGCATTCATATTCATATTTAAACTCTAATCATGACCTCGCACGCATGTTTGCAGCTGTTGCAATTATCTTTTCCGAGCCGTATAACGTAACTAATTCCAAATATTTAGCCAAGTGGCATTGTCTGGGCTCGCTTGAGATGGGGGAGGCGGAATGGGGATTGGGAGGGGGAAGCTTTGTTCACGCAATCTGTGAGGTTGCATGTTCGGTGTGTGTTTCTTGGTTATATTCATTGTGTGGTGGCATTCAAGTTATTCGAGATTGAAAATTGCACTTGATTTTTCTTTCACGTGCAAAAACCCGGGAGGCCAAATTCCCAGCTTTTTTGCACGTTTTGCGCCGCAAGTTTAATGTCCGACTGTGTTGAGTTAACTTCAAGTAGACTAGACGATTGTTGTTTTTTATTTTTATTTTTTTTGGTGATTTTTTTTCATTTGTGTTTGCACTTAACTTCACTTGACTTTGTGCACGCGCCATTTGAAAATCGATTGACAAAACAGGCGGCTTATCATTTGATTATTGCAAACCTCTCACATTCGAGACATCGCAGACTCTTGAATATATTGGAACCTTTACAGCAAATGCCCTTTCTAAGTAGCCTCACAAAATACAAAACAAAATGTTTCGAATCTCAAGACCCTAAGCCCAGCCCATTGTAGACATCATAACAATTATGCAAATTAGACCCAGGCCCATCGAGGTCTTTCCCTTTCTCTCTATCAAATTCAATGAACTTTTGTAAACACACATTGTTCAAATCTATGTTTGTTGATTATAAAAAGAAATAAAAAAAAGCCACAACTTTACACATGATTTTTTGGAATTATCAGTTTAATGTGCAAAAGGTTTCTAAAATCCCAAACATATTTGTTAGCCAAACAAAACTATGCCACAATAGCTCTTCAAACGCATTTGCGTCACTTAAGCACTTAAATTTATGGTGTGATCACACACCATTTACAATTATATAGTATATAGTTTTTCATTGATAAAAAAAAAGAAATAACTTCACAGCTCGCACTTGAAAAATGAACGTACTTCAACATGACGCGACTCTTCACACAGCAACCAAATAGTTAATGAACAAGAAAAATGTACAAACCATTTAATTTGGCATTTCATTTACGCATCTACTTTGTAACAGAAAGAAACTTAGTTTCTAATCTCAATATAATAATAATAAAATAATAATATGAAAGGTTTACCAAGAGCCGGGTAAACTTTGAACCATGATCTTTATTATGATTCATTATAAGTTATAGTGACTAGCTTCAATATGTTTACAGGGTACTTGGGAGTCGCACAGAGCGATACTCGCTCTGCTTTTGATTAATTAGTTTAATTTGGGTTTGAAAATCATTTGATTTATTTATCAAAAAATTTTGTTTATTCGGACCAAGTCAAGGTGACTGCCAAGGCATTGATTACAACATTTTTGATTTGCCAAAATAAATAAAGAAAGCAAAAAGAACTATTATCAAAACCGAGGCATACATTTATTTTTTTTTATTTTTTGTTTGTTTTTATCTTGAAAATGGGCTGACTCTGTAGATTTAAATTTGAATTGAAATTTGAACTTATCAGCGATCTGATGCTACAATTTGATTGTGTGCCCGCTTACCTTATCTGTGTGTGTGTGTGTGTGTGATGTGTGTGGATTGGCAACAACAGTGAAATGTTGCACTTAAATTCATTTGCGTTAGACTCACTTTAATTATCACGTTTGTCATGCTCTGCGCCTTGCTGATCCCAATTTCGTTTTTCAAATTGATTTATGCAAAACAAAATGTAAGTGGTGCTGCCACTCTCATTCACCGTCTTGCCAGCAAACCAATCGCATCTTTCGTATTCAATTTGAGGCTTGTCTGGCCACTTGTGTTTTCTTCACCCTGATCTTTCGACACTCTTTTTTCTTATTTTTGTGCATTTTCTTTGGCTGCTTTTTATTTTTCAAGTCGCTGACACTGATCGAAAGCATTGGCGTGGTGGGAAATTGCATATACAACGCATCGTTAGTGTCTCTTGCATGGTTAATCATCCATATCAATTACAACAATTATCAATTAACCCGTTGCCATCGACCTCCCTCACATGCCAAGGTGTATATTGCCTTGGGCACAGGCACACCTGTCCAAAGAACACACAGCAGAAGCAGAAGCAGAATCAGCCGAAGAAAATACTTCAATGGAATGCTTAAGCATGCTGAGACGTGACGGATGCGACTGATTGATAAAATTGTTTAAAAAAAACAGGCGTAGGCTTGCGGCACTGAGGCACGTCATAATTTTCAACATTTTATCTAATTTGCATATACAGACAGACAGACGGACAGACGAAGTTCAGTTACCGTTAGAGCGCATTGTCAGCTAACGGTTGCACTCTTTTATCGCCCGAACTAACTCAGTTACTAAACTGAGTGACTAGTTGACGGACTGACAGACAGACTGACAGACAGACTGTCTCTTTGGCTAGTGAAAGTGTCTTTATTTCGGCTCGCATTTGTTTATTGACATGTTAATTTTTTGACAATATTTTCGCTTACACTAACCATTCCAAAAGAAATCACCAAAATATGTTGAGTAACTCAATCTGCAGATTCAATCAGTTGACAGTCGTCGTTGTTGAGGCAAGGAAGCGGAGGCACAGCACAGCACAGCCCACTTGCTCTCGCTAGTGGTGTCGTTGACAGCAAACTGATAGGCACACAAAATGCTTAATAAACTGAATGGCTTGTTTTTCCGGTGCGTTGCGTGCGCCAGGACTGAACACTGTCTTCGAATCCCCAAAGACCTGTCTTGGCCAGCATTTATAGTTTATGGCCGAATGCAAATTCAAGTTCTCTGCATATGTCAAACACGTATAACATTCATTTAACGACTGTCTCTCTCTCTCTCTCTGTTTCTGTCTTTTTCCTCTTCTCCTGCAGTGACAGCTCGACGCTGCAGCGCCACCTACCGCCGAGTAGTCGCCAACGCGCTGAAATGGCGCCCAGCGTGTGCCAAACATCGCCCAAATTGCCGTCACACAGTGCGGCAACAGTGGGCGTCGCTTCGGGTCCGGGTCAGGCTTCGGTGCAGCCCGGCTCCAGTGTCTCGGGCACGAATAAGTGTGGTGCGAGCAGTTTGAATGGTTCGTTGGCTTCCTATAAGATGGCCGGTTCGGAGCAGAGTTGGCCACAGGCACCCGTTTATAGCAAAGAGAATCAACGACCACCCGTCTACAATCCCGAAGATTATGTGCTCTCGCTGCGCAAGTTCACCAAAGGCAGCGGATCGGCCAAAGTGCATTCAATCTACGATGTGAATATCAATGGTGTCACTACCAGCACCAAGGAAGATGTCTACAAATCCGCCACACTGCCAGCCAAACACTCTGGCTACAAGTAAGTCTACACCTGACTAGTAGATAACTTCAACAGATATTAACTTCTTTCACCCCCACAGAAGTCCAATTGCGGCGCCGCCTGAGAGCGACAGTGAGATGACCCTTCGACAATTTGGTTCCATAACCGATCTATTAACCAAACTGCGTGCCGATCTTCGTGTATCCTTTCCCAGGTAAGTCACAGCTACTGTTCCTCATATCTCCCAGAACATTCTAAGCTGTTTTCGCTGCAGCTTTGTGCAGGAATTTGTGGCCACACCCTCGGATGGCATCAGCCATCTGCTGGAGGTGCTTCGAGCCATACAAATGGCCCAGGCAAGCAATGCACCCGCTCCAATGGCGGCGGGCACCAATTCTCTGGCAATGTCCAGGAATCCGCAGAGCTATCAGCGACGTGCCCTGCTCGACGAGCTCTCCTGCCTGTGAGTAAATTAACATTTATTTACTGGGCAGCATAATAATATCTCTCTCTTTCGCGTCCCAGACAATGTCTGAGCATTTGCTGTTCCCGCTCTTTGGATGCCATAGCCCGTCTAGGCAATACACCAGTGGGCCTGATGCCGCTCGCCTCTTCGGCAACTGGCCAGGGTATACGTGGTCGCATCCTGGCGCTGCAGCTACTCGCCTCCGCCTGTGATCGACAGCCATTTGGCCAAGGGAATGGCAGCCAGAAGATAAGTGCTGCTGGTCACACAGCCGTCTCGGAGGCGATGTCCACGCTGAGATTGCGCTGCAGTGAACCGGTTCGCTTCCGACTGCTCATTGGCATCCTCAACAGCGGGGGCGGTTCCGGGGAACTGCAATGCGCTGGCATTAAGTAAGTGAACTGAGAGCAACTAAAGAGTGTCACAGTTGAGAGTAACCTTTAATTCTGCTTGCAGATTCCTGAACACTTTCATTGAGAGCGCCGTCAGTTTGCAGCAGCGTCTCTACATCCAAGCGGAGCTCTGTCAGGCTGGCCTGGAGACCAGCACACTAGCCCGCACCATATCCTCCTCCTCGCCGTGGCTGGACGCATTGCGCAGCGAGATCAAGCGATTCAATGAGCTGCACATCGATGTGGACAAGATGATGGCCCAGGCCCGTGATGCGGATCGGGTGCGCAGTCAAATGGTCATCCTGGAGCGGAGAGTGCAGATCTTACACGAGGAGAAGACCGTGCTCACATCGATGGAGCGACGCCTGCAAGAGCGATGTGCAGAGCTGCAAAGGGAAATCTTTCGCTTGCAGGGTGCACAGGAGTCCAACTTCAAGCCAGTCGAAGCACATCAGCCTGTCGCTTTGCCGCGTCAGGTGCCACCCACATCGAAAACTGCGGGGGGCAGTAAACAAAGCTGTTCGGAGCACGAAGACGAGGGCATCAGTAGCTCCGAAACGGGTGCCTCCCTCAGTCCCGTGCCCATTCTTGTGCTGCCCACCAAGTCTAAGCATCACAAGCAGTCGCGCAAGGTGACCACACCTCACCGAGGCAATAATGATGACGATGATGCAGCCACCATCGAGGATGTCATCGGGGAACTGGACAACATTGTTAGCGAGGCGGAGAAACAGATCTCGAGCCAGGCAGCAGCATCAGTCAAGCAGGGGAAACAGCTACGTCTGGCCGTGGAACAGGAACAGGACATTGTGCCCGTTAACATTGTGCCTCAGCCACCGCGCAAATCCCGATCCTTGGCTCACCTTGTACCACGCACGGACTGCTCCGAGCAGGATGCCACACAATATGGCATGCCGGGCGATGCAGCGGCCGTTGAGCGTCTGGCTGCGATGCACACCTTCTTCGACGAGGTGGATTACGATGCGCCGTGCAACACGGAGCAATCCTTCGTCATGGACGCACCACCCTCATCCGACATGCCCGAAGCGGAGGCGAATGCCACGGCCACAGCCTATAATGCGAGCACCAATCGGGAGCTGCTCGATGTCATAATGAATGCGCGGCACGACGATCACGATCCCACCATGCTGGCACTGAGGAACAACAGCGCGCAGGATTGCCAGCAATTGGAACGACCATCCGGCAAGCCACCAGCACCAGCGCCACCAGCTCAGCATTTCAACGGTGTCTTCTTTATGACCGGCATGAATACCCCCCAAAAGTATCCCAAGCCAGATCTCACAGCGGCCATCCAGGCACGCCGAGTGACCAAGAATGTGGAGCGTCTGGAGGCGGCCTTTGCCTCCAGCCACGATGCTCACACTCCCAACGATCCCGGCATGGTTCGTGAGAAGTCGCGCAGCAATCAACAGATCTATTTCAGCAGCAATCCGACAATAAGAATGAACGACTATCCAGCTCTGGGTCAACTTGGTGGCAATATATCCGCACGCACGAGATCCTATACACAGGGTTCCAAGGTTACAGATCTACCCTCTGGCTTATATTAGGAAAAGGACTAATCGTACTCCGCCTCCTGTGCGCAATACAAACAACCAACTCTATCTATAAGTACATCTATATCAGCTCCTGCATTAAATCGAAATATATTTTAAGATAAGTAAGAAGATAGAGTATTGCCTAGCATAGATTTGGTGGCAGCTTCAATCGGGTCCCCTAAGCATAAGTCTCGGATTAATCATTTATTATCTGTGTGTTTAAATTGATATCATATTTATATATTCTTTATTTGCGATTACAAATAAATAATTTAGTTGACATGGTAAACAAAAGTTACGTCAAGCTCATTAATATTTGAATTTGCAATGGTTTTTCAAAACCAGAAAGCCAGAGTTTTCCATTTAGTCCGTCTAACAGACACTTAAAACCTCTAGAAATTAAAATTTTCTAAGATTGAAGTAAAACAATAAAATTCAATTTTTAAGGATGCATTTATTAGAGTCAGTATTTGTCAATAGGCAAATAGCTTAGAAGCAGTCGTTGATGGAGGGCAGAGCACCGTTGCAGTACTTCCAGGTGGACCATGCGGTCCATCCCTGCTGGCCCTGGATCTTCTGGGCGCAACGGACGGAGTTGGTGATGTCGTCAGTCAACAGAGCGTTGCAGCTCAAGGAGCACTCGTTGTAGGAGAAGCGACCGTTGGCAGGCTGGCACCAGTAGTAGTTGTTGATCTGGAAGATGCCGTAGTCGTTGGAGCCATTGGAGTTTTCGGGACCAACCACTCCGGTGCGGTAGGAGCTCTCGTGCTCGGCAATGCAAGTCCACTTGTTCAGCTGGTCACGGGGAACGCCCAAGTTGGACATCTCGCGGGCCAAGGAGCAACGATCCATGGTGCGACCCAGAGCGGGGGCGGCGAAAGCCAGAGCAAGCAGAACGATGAAGAACTTCATGATTATTGTTTCAGTTAACTGATGTCCAATTCCTCCGGAACTCAGCCTTTTATAGAAGGCTTTAATCTGTAAACTTTATAATCAGCCGAACGGAAAAAACCCACGACCCGAAGAAGTACGAAAAAGTAATTCCGACTTTATAATCAATGGCATAATTTTGGCGATTTAAATGCGCTGAAGTGATAAAGTTGTTATTATCAAAATTTAAATTATATATATGTTTATTGATATTAAAATTTCTAGATCCCCATTTTGAATTAAATTATATAAGTATATAGATTAGGCGTGAGTACTTCACCTAATTTGAAGTGCTTTTAAATTACATTACTACATTAGCTGATTTGTTTTTGAGTACAGGCACCGCTGAATAATAAATATCGCTTATGCATTTACTTTAGAAACGTATATTTTTGGTGTTAGAATCATAAATAAATATATATATTGTTTTATATTGCAGCAATATATAGCGCCAACGATTTGAATACGCACAGTTCGATTGTACTGTTGCTGTCGATATCGATAATCGACTTAGCCGACATCTCTGTTACCTAACGGTTGTGAACCAGCAGCAGAGCGGAACAGCCTGTTGTTATTATAAAGCCACTTATTTCTCGCTAATTGACAGTAAATTGACCTACAGTTTTCCTATATTGATTAGTGTTCATATTGAATAACAGTTGAGTAGCTGTTAATAAATTGCTCGCTGCTATGTGTCGCAACTGAACAGAACCGGCGACATAGTCATTCAAATGAACATTGGTTCACGAACGAACTTGTTATTAAAAGTGATTCCTCTTGCCGCAGGGCAACGCAGTAACTTAACAAATCGAAAGAGCAAAAAAAAAAACTACAAGTGAATTTGCAAAAGTGTGAATAATAAATTCAAAGTTTGCGAACGAATCGGCAAAATGTTTAATGGTTAGCCCAATGTGAAAGCAATTACATTTGCTACTTTCTGCTATAACTACTGTGACTTCATTGTGCAGCATAAAATTGCGACAAGAGTAACTGACCACGACACTCATGCAAATACACACACATGCAAACACACTAATACATGGATACATACGCAGATCCAAACAAGATAATATTAGAAGTCATTCCCCTTGGCTATATTAACTGACTTGCCAGCGAAATTGAATTGGGGAAAGAACAAGAAATGTGCAGAAAAAGGAGCCCGGCAAAAACTCACGAGTTGACACACCATTTTCACTCATAGTAAATGTGTGTCCACGTATATAAATGTTATGTATGCATGCATATATATATATGTATATAATCAGTTGATCTTGAGTCACGGATCGTTGAGAAACTGATGCGGCTGCCCTCACATTTGATACTCTTTCCCGGGTTCATTGCAATGCTACAGTTTTCAAGCACAACTGAATTAAACGTAACCTGAGCTAGTAATTAAATGGTTCTCTGTAATTGTCAATTAGTGTGTGTCTAAAGAAAAGCATATTTTGATTAACTGACATGCAATTGGAAGCTGTCAATAGCTGTCAAACTGTTAATAGTAGTTGCCTTCCATTGGAAAATTCCAGTGAAAGATGAGCGCAATTTAAGTAAGACAAAGTTTGAGGGCATTTGGTCTTCGTTGAATGGATGTATGCAACAGAGCTAATTGGCAGGCGCTTGTGCAAAGCAGAGAATCGGACGTTCTTATATTGATTTGTTGGCTGTATTATTGCATTTCTCTCTTCGTCTGTAATTAGTAATGTGTTCACCTTCAGCTAAATATGCACATTCCGAAATAACTAACAAATTGACATTGTTATACAATTTACTTTCAGTAGACTCATCGCTTTTACACTCAAATCTCAAATCGCACTGACATTTTTGAACCCACACATACATATATATATATATATATATATATATATATATTGTACACCAGCATCAAGATTCCAAAGTTCATCCATCCATTTCAACAGCAACAAGCAACAAGCAAGCAAATTCGGAAGCCATGTCGTGGTTGGGATTTGGAGCACTCGCTTCCGGCTTTGGTATTTGCTTATTATCAATGTTCAATGTTCGTTGTTGTTACTATTGTTGTTGTTCATCTTGTTGTTGTTCGTCCTTTCAATGTGTCGTGTTGTTTTTTCATCGAAGTTTTTATTAACAATATCTGCTTTATTCACAGTACTGCAGCGCCTGCTGGGCGGTGATAGTCCGCCGAACAAAGTTCTGGAAATCAAGAGTGAATCACTGGGCACCCTCCAGGTGTTGGCTCGCGATGATGCAATGGTCCTCTTCGCTCCCCCGTACAACAGCAGCGACAAACGCTCCGCCGTCTACGAGATTGTGCTGCAGCGCCCCACCTCCGACTCCAACACCACCTCGTTCAGTTTGTTTCGTTCGCCCACTCAGCGGGAGGCCGAAGAAAAGTTTAACACATTTATGGAGCGACTGCCCGTCTTTGTGGGCCTCGTCAGAGAGGTAATAGATTGCCTAATTAGATCATCTCCTAGTTGTACTTTATTAAAATCTGCACTGTTTTTTCTTTTGCAGTATTACAATGTGAATGGCTTGCAAAAGATATGTGATGTGCTCTCGGAGAATCCGTCGTGGACGCTGGCCCATCTGGTCGCCTACTTCAATCTGACCGAGTACATCAGCAATCCCAAAGTGTTGCAGTGCGTCGATGCGGCGGATCACACGACGCTCATGTCACCCTTCCAGCTAGCCATCAAACAGAGCAACATTGAGATGGTTAAACAGCTGCTGCCACTAAGCAAAATCGAACACTTGGACATAAATAGTAACTCGGTGTTTCACTATGCCGCCAGCACCACCAAAGAGATCATCAATGTGAGTAACAATCAATATCTGGTACAACTACTTATTCACCTCCCTTTCATTGCAGCTGCTCACCGCAAACAGCACGGTTAATCTGAACCACCTCAACTCGGATGGATATACGCCGCTGCATCTGGCCTGTGTGACGGATAAGCCGGAGAATGTGAAGGCTCTTCTGCTGGCCGGCGCCGATGTTAATTTGAATGCGAAGAACATAAGCAAACTGTACAAAACATCGACACCCACTTCGGTAGCTGGTTTTCTTCGCAACAATGCCAGCAAACTGTACACACAGGATATGAAATATGGAGGGACACCTCTACACTGGTGCTCCTCGCGCGAAACACTGCAAGCGCTCATCATGGAGGGTTGCGATGTAAATGCCACGAATTTCGATGGCAGAACCGCATTGCATGTGATGGTGGCACGCAATCGATTCGAGTGCGTCGTCACACTCCTCGCTCACGATGCGGACATCGATGTGCTGGACACGGAGGGAAATGCGGCACTGCACATTGCCATTGAAAAGAAACTGGTGCCGATTGTCCAGTGTCTTGTCGTCTTTGGCTGTGACATCAATATGAAGAATAAGGCTGGCAAATCACCGCGTCACATGGTTGGCAACGATGCGAGCGGCAGCAAGGATGATGAAATCCTATACATATTGCATTCGGTGGGGGCGAAACGCTGCTCCGAAGCCAACTCAAAGTGTCCGCCCGGCTGCAATGCCAAAGGCGCCTACAATGGCATACCGCCCGAGGCACCCGAACCTGTCGAGAAGCGCGAACACATTGAAACTATGCTGGCGACGACCAGTCGTCAAGTGGTCAGCGGTCTGCTATCAGCAGCAGTCAATGGACAAATGGATAAACAACAGCAAGCAGCACAGTAAGTTGTATATTGGAATCAAAATGTTATCCCTTTTCAAGAGAACTAATTATTTTCCAATTCCTTGTAGAATGCCCGTCGTAGTCGATACGGAGAAGGAGCAAAAGGGTCAGAGCATTATGGATGCATTATTGGGCATGTTCATCACCAAAGTCAATGCGGATGAGCAGAAGAAGGAGAGCTCGTCGAGCAATGTAGCCAGTGCAGCATCAACGCCACAATCGGGTGTAGGTACTCCGGAACAGGTGGCCTCGCTAATGTCACCGTTTCCCTCGGAGATTGGTGACAAGCCGTATGGACGTGGACGTCTGCTATGCCTAGATGGCGGCGGCATACGTGGCCTGGTGCTAGTCCAGATGCTGCTCGAGGTTGAGAAGCTATCGCGCACGCCCATCATTCACATGTTCGACTGGATCGCCGGCACCAGCACCGGCGGCATCTTGGCTCTGGGTCTGGGCTGTGGCAAGAATATGCGGCAATGCATGGGTCTCTATCTGCGCATGAAGGAGCAGTGCTTTGTGGGCTCGCGACCATACCAGAGCGAATACTTCGAGGGCATACTCAAGGACAATCTCGGCGAGTTCAATGTGATGACCGACATCAAGCATCCAAAGATTATGGTCACTGGTGTAATGGCGGATCGTAAACCGGTCGACTTGCATTTGTTTCGCAATTACACAAGTGCCAGTGATATTCTTGGCATTGTGACTTCCATAAGTGAGTCGATAATGAAATCTCCAATAGAGTTCAGTTTCATTAAATACTATCTTTTTTTTGTGGTCAGGCAATCGACGCGTACCGCCGCCCCAGCCGGAGGATCAGTTGGTATGGCGTGCTGCACGTGCCACGGGTGCAGCTCCCTCATATTTCCGTGCATTTGGGCGTTTTCTGGATGGTGGCCTCATCGCCAACAATCCCACACTGGACGCCATGACTGAGATACACGAGTACAATATGGCGCTGAGGAATGTGGGTCGCGAAGCTGAGGCTGTGCCCGTCTCAGCTGTGGTCTCCCTGGGCACTGGTCATATACCAGTCACTGAACTGAAGGACATCGATGTGTTCCGCCCAGAGAGTATCTGGGATACTGCCAAATTGGCCTACGGCATATCGACAATTGGTAAATGGAGAATGCATCTTTTGTATTACAGAATTGTAAATTGATTTTAATCTTTTGCAGGCGCATTGCTTGTGGACCAAGCCACCTGCTCGGATGGACGGGTGGTGGATCGTGCTCGTGCCTGGTGCAGCATGATTGGCGTACCCTACTTCAGATTCAATCCGCAGCTGAGCGAGGATGTGGCCATGGACGAGAAGGACGACCAGAAGCTGATCAACATGCTGTGGCACACCAAGGCCTACATGCACATCAATCGCAACAAAATCATCGAGATGATCAATTTCCTCAAATAGCGCGCAAGAAGGATTTAGACCGCACAAGATTCGGCAAATTGCTGCCTCATTTGCTCCTCCACTCTAGATGTATTCCCCCACTTTCTGCACTGCTGCGTGTAAATACGTTACTCCTTTTCCTGCACCTCTTCCTAGCGGTCTAAATCAAGCCCTCCACACACACAAAATGCCACCCATTAACACAAAATAATTACCCAACCGAAAATCATTCTTTTCTAATACAAATAAAACGTTTCATATATATATATAGATAAAAGACATTATATGGTTCCGTATTGCCATGAGGATAGAGAATTCACTTGTACGGGCTTTGAATGTATTGTGGTATTATTGGATAGCAAAATCCTTAAAAATTTTGAATCTTGTGTTAAATTACTTATTTATCTTGTATTATTATTATGTGTATTGTATTTTTATTTTTGCCAATTGAATTCTTAGGCTGTATGATGTAAACATTCCGTGTCGCTTTGGCATTTAAGTATAAACATTGTACAAGAGCACGAATTTTAAATAAAACTTTTTGATGTGATGTTAAATTTAGGTTTTCTTTTGAAGTACATCAAATATTTAAAAGTTCGGCTAATGAAAATCTCCAGTTACATTTGAGTTGCGCACATTGATGCAGTTTGTGATGAGTATTTTTATGTATTAGAATTAGTCATATTTTACAAAAAGAAAAAGTAGTCATCAAGAATTACAGAAAATATATAGGGCAAATGATAAGATCCACAAGAAGAAACGTAAATATTGTTTTACGCGTAAAAATCCAGTTAACAGAACAAAAGGCAAAAGCTTTTGGTGTATCGCGAAATGGAAAGAATGGTGATGGCAGCGTTGCCACCTGGAGCGCACGCGCTAGCAGCACAAATCGCGACGCGTTGGCAGCCTGGCGCACAAAATGTAAACAGGAAAAAAAATCGAGAAAAATACAAACAATACAGACAAAAGTAAGAAGCGCGTGAAGAAAAAGATAAAAAAAATACAGAAAAAGAACATTTTTGGTGTGCAGACAGAAAGAAACGCAATAATTGACAGACGAGGAGCTGCCGCAGCAGCAGCCGCCGCCGCCAACAGACGCGCACGCACATAACGCGGCCATGTCCAATAACCACCGTGTGGACACGGGCAAAGAGCTGCCAATGCCACTAATACAAGACCAACAACAGCAACTGCAACAGGAGTCAGAGGTGGCGCTGCTGCCGAACATGATGTCCATGCCGACAATGCCCGTGTCAAAGGGTATCATGATAACGCCGCCGCCACCATTGATGCCACCAACGCCGACATCGTCGCCCAACACACACGGCGAATGGCCAAATCTAAATCCAAACGCTAACGCATTCCAGCTAACCAGAGAGACCAGATGGCCAGGAATCGGCAGTGCTGGTGGTGGAGGTGGTGGGGTGGGTGGGGTTAGTGGTAGTGGTAGTGTTAGTGGTGGGGTTAGCGGGGAACGGGAACATTTTGCCCTGCCGCATCTGCCGCCACTGCCGCTGAACGTTGACTATCTGCCGAGCCTGATACATCCGAGCACCCTGCCCTCGAGCAGCAAGAGCTTCAAGATGCGTCCGCGCATGAAGCGTCTAATGTACTGCAGCTACAACAGCATATTGACAGAGTCAAACAATCGCAAGCTGCGCACAGCCGCCTCCACCTGCAATATTGAGCTGCTCAACCGGATTCTGGAGTCGGGCGGTAACCCCAATGCCGCCGACGAATACAATCGCAGTCCACTGCATCTGGCCGCCTGTCGTGGCTATATACCCATTGTCCAGCAACTGCTGAAATATGGCGCAAATCCGAATGTGGTGGATTCGCTGGGAAATACACCGCTGCATTTGGCCGTCATCTCGGCCAGCTCCAATAATTTCAATGTGGTTGTGCGTGTCCTGCTGCAGGGCGGTGCCAGTGTGCACATGTATGATCGCAGTGGTAAATCCCCGCTAGAGTTGGCGGAGGCCAAGTTGCGGTTGCTGCGCAATCGCTACGATCATCCGACACCGGAGACCGCCACAATTCTGGAGGATATGTGCATGCTGACAACGTTGATATTGCGCTATATGGTGAAGCAGCAGCAGGAGCTGGAAGATCTCTCAGCGCTCGAGAAGCGATTGCAGAACCTCAGCACCAGTGATGATCAGGAGCAGGTCGTCTCCCAAACAGCCGACGAGCTGCTCGCCAGCGTCGAGCGTTTGTCCATCAACAACAAATAGAAAACGGGACTCAAACGATTGCGTTTCCGATCATTTTAGATGGGTAAATTAATGAAATTAATTATATTATCTTTATTTTTATATATCTAATTTCAATTGAATATGTTTTATTCTTGTAGTTTATTTTACGTTTCCTAATTTGGCTGCCGTTGAGTTGGAGTTGGATTTATGTGTGCCTAATCTCTGGTTGCGCACCGGAGCGCAAAACACACAACCAATGCTCACACACACACACACACACCACAAACACACACATACACCTACATTGTTTCATGCGATCTTTTTTATTAAGTATTTCATTTAAGTTTTCATTGTTTATGCAAACAAAACAAAAACAAACAACAACAAAAACACACGCAACCAACAAATATGTTTAAATTTTAAGCTTTACGTTTAGCGCGCCAAAACAAAATAAATTTATGTAATAAAGAATGCAATTTGCAAGTGCAAAAAAACAACAACACAATTTAAACACCTAATAAAAATGAAAGCAAATTACAAATACAATTTAACTTAAAATTGATTACAAAATAAACAATAAACACAAATCGTTAAACTTCCTTTGTATACAGTACAGTAAACAAACAAAAAAGAACATTTTAAAATATTACTATTATTACATATATATATATTATATTATATTTAATAATGATAACTAAAGCCCAAGCCATTTTGGGTAATTGTATTACAAGATTTTAAAATATTTAGACGATCAGTTAAGAACATCAAAAATAAAAGGAATCTAGCAATATCTCAATCCATCAATATGTATTAACAATATACATAACAAATACATATAATGACGGAACAAATTGCTGATAAGGCATTGAATCTATTCCGCAACAGCCTTGACTGTCGTCTGAAAAGGGTGAGAGAGAGAGAGAGAGAGAGAGTGTAAGAAGGGCGTTGTTATGTCGCCGTTGTTTGGTTTTGCCTTCCAAGAATATACTTTTTTACACATACATATGTTTATGTGTATGTATAGATAAGCCGTGTTGTGCCTTTTGTTTTGGTTTTGCTCAACTTATCGATAGCACATAAGCTGTGAGCAGTGTGACCAACCCATCGCATTGCAAGCTAGCATACAGCCTTACATTGTCAAAATGATAGAATATAAATAATCAGTTCTAATTGTAATTTTCCATTATTTATTTAATGCTTATGCAACTGTCTTTAATATTTATATACTTTCGTTTTTAAATTTGGTAATACTCAATCCAAATCAAGATAGGGAGTACCATCAATATTTGATTGTGAATCGATATCGACACAAGCATCGATTATTCTGTAACGCTGGCCTGCTGCAGTGTTTCTAAAAACAAAATTTTGCCTATTTTGTTTCATTTATATTAACAGGGATTAATGAAGGAACAACAGTATATAGAAGTGCCGCAGCATGCGCCACCACCAGCAGAACCAGCATATGCCACCAGTCCAGGTGAGCTAAAAACATATGCCCGGAAATAAATATACATAATTTTGAGTGTGTGTGTTTTGTTGTGGGCGTTTGCCCAAACAATATAAATAAATAAATATATATATACTATATGTTTGAAAAACAAAACATAAATAATGTGAATTAAAAGTGAATACATATATTGTTATTTTAAACCAGGCGAACCTTGGATGAGCATTCCAGTGGGCAGAGACTGTCCGCAGGGCCTCGAATATTTAACCGTCCTTGATGAGTTGCTTGTCTCTCAGAAAATTCAAGAAGTTGGTCAAGTGCGGAATCCCTTCAAGGTGAAGAACTCACTGGGACAGAATCTGTATTATGCGTACGAGGAGAGCAATATGTTGAGCCGCACAATGATGCAACAATTGCGTCCATTCGAGATGAAAGTATTGGATAACTTTCAGAATGAGGTGTTGCATGTGAATCGTCCAATGCGATGTGATCTGTTCTGCTGTTTTCCCAACTGCTCGAGCATTTTAGAGGTATCGGCACCACCTGGTCAAATTATCGGGACTGTGGAGAAGGTCTGCTTTTTTATGAAACCGAAATTTCTTATTAAAAACTCGTTTGGCGACGTTATGATGAATATTGAGGGTTCAGTCAGTGGACCCTGGAAATGCTGCAAAGATATCGACATGAAGGTCAGTGCCAAACAACACCAACAAGAACTACAACTGGTTCTGTGTAGGGATACATATATGGTCTCGCCATCCAAGCAAGCAATGACGTCACAACATCGCCATGCTTGACTGCGAATGCGAATTGAATTTTAAATTGCTGGGTGTGTCTGGTAAACACTTTGTTTGATTTGTGTATATCTGCTTTGGCCTTTTAGGTATTCAGCGTGAACAACGAAGAGATTGGAAAGATAACTAAAAATTGGTCCGGTCCCGCCAAGGAAATGTTTAGCGACGCCGATTACTTTAGCGTCACATTCCCCCTGAATTTGGATGTGCGCATGAAGGCTCTTCTCTTTGCCGCTGTCTTTTTGGTTGTAAGTAACTGAATTATTCACCTCACAGCAATCTGCTAATTTGTCAACATTTTTTATTTTGCAGAACATTCTCCTCTACGAGAACTAGGCACTGCGCAGCTAAAAACCATGTGTAATAATTCAGCAACCATCATAATCGACTGCTTAGTTTTTAGAACCTGACGTTACTCTTAAGTTTTCATTTGAACAACTCAAATTTACATTGGTTATCTGAATCTCTGCGCCATTAACTGAATCTCCATCTATGTGCATCAAATATTCGTTGTACTTATTTATTAACACATCTATTTATTTACATACTTAACACTGATGACGCTTTGAAAAATATGCGCACAATTTTCATTTTGAATGCATTTCTATTCATCGTAGCTTATGTATATTTTTTTTAATGAAATTTTATATACCATATTGTACATGTGTGTATATTATCTTAAACACCGACACTCGGTTGGCATTTAGACGCTTACCTGACCTAAGCACAACCAACACACACACACACACTGATACAAACGAGAAAGAGTGCCTTAAGATGTCCTTGTTATTGTACACCTTACCCACCACACACCATACAAAACAGACCCCATTCATAAGTATATACCTCAATTGAATCAAGGCCCGAGAGAGTTTATGCTATTTTTGTATGTACTTAAAGACAGTGAAATCGATTGTTAACGTTTCGTGGAACCTACAATGTTACCTGCATTCTTTTGCACTATTAAACAACCAACAACACACACTTGATTAGTTATGCGGTATAATAAAAACAAAATATATTCTATATAAAACAAATTGTTACTTTATAGTATATTTACAAGCGATAAGTGGAATTGTTTACTACATCATTTTTAGATGACAGTTGTGAACATTGGAAATGGAAATGCTATCTAGTGTAAGTCGTCTTCACAAACTGTATGAAATGTTTAAAGCAATTCAGTTGTTCTTGGCAAAGTATTTTGTTTTGTCATTCGGATTGGGCACAATCTGCAAGATAAATATTAATTGCACAAGTGGAAATACATTTTAGATGGGACAGACTCTGCTTACCGTATCGGCGCCAGGTTTCCAGCCAGCTGGACACACTTCGCCATGGGTATCGGTGTACTGGAAAGCCTGCACCAGGCGTATTGTCTCATCCACAGAGCGGCCCACGGGCAGATCATTCATCGTTATCTGGCGCAGCACGCCGCGCTGATCGATGATGAAGAGACCGCGCAGGGCGTGACCACTTGCCTCCAGATATACACCGTAGTCCTTGCTGATCTTGTGCGTCAAGTCGGAGAGCAGAGGTATCTTAACGTTGCCCAGTCCGCCCTCCTTGCGCGGCGTGTTGATCCAAGCCAAGTGTGTGAAGTGAGAGTCAACGCTGGCAGCAATAACCTCAGTTTTGATCTTCTTGAATTCAGCAATGCGATCCGAGAACGCAATGATCTCCGTGGGACAAACAAATGTGCTGCAATTGTGGATTTTATTAAAATGTTTCGAGTTTCGTTAACTGCACAACTTACAAGTCGAGTGGATAGAAGAGGAGCACCACGTATTTGCCCAGATATTGCGAGAGCGACAGCTGCACAATCTCTTTGTTGACCACAGCGGTGCCCTCAAATTGTGGGGCCGGCTTTGAAACTATGACAGAGAATTAATATCTAATACAATAATAAGCAGCTATTTTTTTTACTTACTGACTGCCTTTGTGTACTGCAATTGATGGTCGCCCTTGGGCTCGCCAGCTGGATAAACAGAGCCACCCGCAAAGGAGTAGCAGGAATCGTTATCATCAGCACTTGCAACAGCTGCTACAGCCAGCAGTAGAACAACTAAACACCAACAATTACGCATATTGCCTCTGGTTGATCTGCAAACGGAATAAGCGGTTTTAACTCTGATTTGACACGCAAAGCCTTCAACTTCAGAAAACGCCCACAAAGCACTCTCCACACTCTTCACACACACACACAAACGCACTTTTAGCCACGCAGTCAAAATTCTAGTTGAACATCCGCCTAAACAGCAATTGAAAGGAGAGACCTGTGATAAGAGCAATTGAAACTGTTATCAGTTTGATTCGCGGACAGTGGCAACTACAATAAACTTGTCAATGTTGTCAATGAAAATATATCCAACATTTAACAACACTTTTAAAGAGAAATTGAGCCTTTTGTGACGAGTTATGTTTGTCTTTTCGATTGCCCTTCCGCTTTCATTGCTTTTGTTTTGAGTAAATTGTGTTTAGACAGTTGCTACCTTTTTAAACAATATTTTTTTTATTTTAACTGTTCGAACTGTTGTTGATTAAGCAAACAACACACGCCGCCAGCTATACAACAAGTAATTTGCCGGCTAGCGATGTGCAGACTAAAAACTATCGCGTCTTTTATATTTTTCGGCACGACACGATTAATTTAACTGTTTCAAATATGAGTATCGACCTTAAAATTCGTAATGTATATTTACTAATACTACTTTCATTTTTAGCAGTTAGCGACTGTAACATGGATTCCAAACATATTCGTCATCTACAGAAAAGGACCCGTTGCCTGCTACCGGATGCAGTTCCTTGGACGCCCCCAAACCAAACTAGAATCATAACTTATTTTTTAATTATTAATTTAAGACGAACATAAATAAAACTTAAACTTAGACAATACGAATCAGAATCAGATTATTTATCACGTGCGCCGCTTGACAATCTCAAAATTGGCCAACTTGAGGATGCGATTGAAATCGACTTTGTTGTGTGCCCGCCAATATTTGCAGCGTCCCCACATCACAGCCGGATAATTGGGACTCTGTATGCCGTGGAAGATGCGGGCAATGTTCCGTCCGCTAAATGTATTGTCCGGATACATATTGATTAGGGCATGGACATCGGCAATTATGTGGTCATCCGGCACGTTGCTGGGCTGCAAGGAGACGGCAAAAGTTGTGGAAAACATATTAAAGATTTGTGTTGCAAACACTTACCTCTATTTCCAGTTCCAGATCCTGCGGATAGTCATTGCGGAAATAGTTGCGTATAATGGCCTTCAGCTGCGAGCAGCGATCTTGGGGAAAATCGACGCTGCAACAAGACGCACACGTATTGTAGGCCACCGCAGACAATCCGTGGGCCACATACTGCAGCTGGATGAGCTGCGTTCGCTCCTGTTTTACAGAACGCGAGTACAGCGTATCGAGGGCATTATCAATTTCCGCCTCGTTGAAATCTCCGGGCGCCTTGATACGAAAGCCCAAATCATAAAAGGTGACAGTGATCGGCGAACGCTTCGGATAGCCATTGACTAAGGAGATTAAAGAGATTATTATTTAATTGGCAGATGGTTAATTGGGTGATGAGATACCTTGTATCCACTCCAGGTTCTTTAGCTGGTATTTGACTACTCCGCTGTTCCAGCCAATGCCCGCCGCAATGTCAATGACGGAGAACTCAATTAAGTTCGCATCCTCCTTGAAGGTCTTACGCTTGATCTGCAGCGCAATGGCCATCGCAAGTGGTGGGCACTCCTTAGCGGCATGTCTGTGAAGGGATATTAATATTAACTTCTTTATTTCAATTATTAAATGTTGATCATACTTCAGATATTTGGGACCACCGTATGAGATCACCTTGGCCATGATGTATGCGGAGCTGAGGACATTCATGCACCAGCGCGGCTCGAGTTCCATGTAGCAGAGTAGTGTTGATATGTTCTCGGCTGGTATGTCCAGCTCCTCGACAGTTTGCTCCACCGAGAAGCCAATCTCATGACCGGGACAGGCATGGACGCGTGCACCGTTCGCTGGTTCACTTTGAGGCGTAGTCTCTTTGCTGGACTTGCTGCCCGGCTGTTTGTCACAGCAGCAGGGCACAAAGATGCGCTGCAGCAGCTTTCGGATGACATGGCGGTCAATGGAATTGGCATAGACATGACGACGCAGTTCGTTCTGATCACCTCCCTTAGCATCCAGAAAGAGATGACACTGCGAGTTGAGTCCATCACGGCCAGCACGTCCAATCTCCTGGACATAACTCTCGAAATTCCTCGGCATATTGTAGTGGATAACAGCACGAATGTCTGGCTTATTGATGCCCATGCCAAAGGCAATGGTGGCCACCACAATGCGAAGTTCATTGGCCATAAAAGCATTCTGCACGGTGCGACGCCTCGAAGCGGGCATGCCCGCGTGATAAGGCTCCGCCTGCCAGTTGACCCGCTTCCGCTTCCTCTTCGTCTGCTCCGGTGCCGCGTTGGATGTGCGCTCCTGCAAACAGGTGCGGATGAAGCCAGCAATGCGCTCGCATTCATCGCGTCGCGTGCAATATATGATGATCGATTGGCAGCTCTCGAATCTGCGAATGCAACACAAGATTAGCTAAACATAGATCTTAGATATGATCTCCACTCACCTGGCACTGTTGAGTAGCTGCAGCAAGGCCCCATCGCGATTCTCATCCTTGGACACGGATAGTATCAAGTTGTCGGGCAATGGAATATCGCTTATAATGCCCCTTTCACCATCCTCAATGCCCAGATGATTGATGATGCTGATGCGCGTGGGCAGCGTCGCTGTGGCGGTCAAACCCAGCACTGTTTTCACGCCCAGATTCTTGCGCAGCACCTTGCAGATCATCAAGTAGCTGGGCCGAAAATTGTGACTCCATTGCGACACACAATGCGCCTCATCGATGCAGGCGAATGCAATGGGCGGCAGCTGACGCAAGATGGCCCCAAATCCTGTTGCCCGTTCGCCAGAAACCACAGCCTCCGGCGAGACAAGCAGTATATCGATCTCGCCATTGGCAATCAATTGTTGCACCTTCAGCCGCTGCTGCGGCGTCTGATTTGTATGCAGACACTGGGCGCGCAAGAAATGCGGTACACCCGTCACCTGATCCTCCATCAGAGATACCAGTGGCGATATGACCAATGTTATTGCACCCTGCCGCCGATTGTACAGATAAGCAGGCAGCTGATAGCAAAGCGATTTGCCGCTGCCTGTGCTCAGGGTGACCAGTGTGGACATGCCACTGAGTATACGCATCACAGCACGATCCTGACCTGCAAGACAAGAGTATTTAGCAATGCGCTATACATTTCTAGAGAGGATTACCCTTGCTTACCCTTGCGAAAGCTGCTGTGTCCAAACATGTGAAGTGCTTCGGTTACCTCGTCCGTCAGCTCCTGTACAGTGCCATCTGGCTTGAGATCATAGAGTGGCTTAACCCCTCCGGTGCCCGGTGGTGAGCTGGAATCGAGGCCAGCCTGCTTGAGGAACTCCTCGGGTATTTTATGGCCCGCATAGCTCTTGATGGGTGACACTTGAGTTTGAGTTGACTGCTGTGCCGCACTCACAGCCGCATCCAATGCCTCAAAATCAATGTCCTGCTCATCGCTAGACATGTTCACGTCATCGTCAGCAGATTCATCTTCATTCTTACCCGACTGTATAGCCTCTTCATCGCTGCTGCTACTGCTACTCTGATAGATAGCTTTGGAATTGGCAGCTTGTGGCAGCCGTGCAATGTTCCGGCTATGTGCCGCCAGTGCACTCTGCGATGCCATCTGCTCGACCTCCTGGAGCGTGGGAAACGGCGATGGATCTTCCTCGAGCTGAGCGCTCAGTGGCAGCAGTGCATCGCCCTTGACCTTGCATTGTTGGGCAAAGTGTCCAACGCCACCGCATTGAAAACAGGTGAGCACACCACCATCACAACCACCCATATCCATATCGGGACCTGTCAAGGCTGCCACTCGCTTCTTGTGGCGCCATTGTGTCTTTTTGTATTTCGTAAAGTTCACCGATTTCTTGCCGCGCACAAATTTCTTCTTCTGTATATTAATGGTGACAAAGTTCTCATTCAGCTTGCCAGCCGCAATCTTCTCCTGCAGCTTCTTGCGTGCCACGGCACGCTTTTCATCCATATTATGTCCAGGCACTAAGGCTTCTTTCGTCTGCTGCGCTTCGCTGGCAAAGTTGCTAATGTAGCGCTGTGCCATTTCATCAGCTTGCTCTAGTTCGTCGAGCTTGATGCGTGGCACGGAGGTAATGTCACCCGATTCCAGGGCTAGAACATATTTGAGATCGTGAGGATTGAGCGGCTGCTCCTCTGGTTCTGGTTGCTGATCTACTGCTTGAGCAGCAGCAGCTCCTGCTTTTGACTTTGCTTTTGTAGTGGGCGCTTTGCGGGGTTTCACTTGCTTCTCCGACTTGGCTTTCTTTTCGGGCTTTGGCTTCTTTTCGAGTTTTGGTTTCTTTTCCGGGTTTGGTTTCATTTCGGTTTTTGGCCTTTGACGCTTAGCTGTTGCCTGCTTTCGCTTGGATTTGCGGGACGGCTCCGGCTCATAGGTGGCATCGCGTTCCTCATCCGCTGAGAAATCTTTGCCCGACTCCTCACCTGACAGCTGTGGCTGAGCAGCTGGAAGTGTTGCTGGCTTTGCTGCTAGCTCTGCTGCTGGCTCTGCTGTTGGCGGGTATTCATTATTAGTGGGCATTACTCTGCGCCGCTTGGCAATGGGGCGATACTCCGACTGATCCGCCTCCTCCTCACTGTGTGCCACAACGGAATCTGAATCGGATTCTTTAGGAGTCGGAGCTGAAACTGCAGGTATTGGCTGTTCCTCTGCGACGGGCACTGCCACTGACTTATCTGGATTGTGATTTGTTTTTAGTTTGCTTAAATCTAAATTGGCCAAGCCATAGCTCGATTTCTTGGACGGCATTGCCAGATTATTGTTCGGCTCGGATTTGGGTGTTGTTGTCGGCAACTGTTGCTCCAGCGAGTTCTGTGCCGTGTTGCGTTGCAGCCAACCCTCATCCACATGCGTTTTTATAGCTGGCTCCTTGTTGGGATCCGTTTTTAGCAATGCATTTGCCGCTACCAACTCCGCTGCCTTGTATTCCTGCGCCTTGCGTATGAGTATCGTTTCCAAATCGGGCAACTGCTCTGCTGCGTCATTGCCTGCGCCTGCAACAGTTGCGGCCGTGGCGCTCAGATTGAGGGAACTGTGCGAGAGCGGCTTGCGGGGATTACGTTTGACAAAGCTGCGCGACGACTGAAACAGTTTGCTGCTGACGCTGGCTTTAATACTTGGCGTTCGCAGCTTGGCGGTCTCTTTTGGAGATGCCTCCACAACTGCAGGCAGCGGTTGTTTACTGACACTCTCGCCCCAGGCGGCTTGATTCTGGGGCAGCTCTGTGATTGGCTCAAATTGGCGTATGACATGATTCTCATCGCGATTTGTGAGATTACTGAGTGCCTGTGGCGTGGGCAGTTCCTCAATGTTGGAGAAGTGGTTGTCGCTGTTTTGCTGCATCAGTGCTGATAGGTCCAGCGGCAACTGTGGTCCACCATTGACGCTCTCCGTGCTCGTGCTCTCATCCAATAATGTGACACCCAAATCATCGGCCTGTGTCATTTCCAGCACATCGAAACCATCCTCGCAGAGCACATCATTCAGTGTCTCCTCCAGAAATGATGTTTTCAGTTTGTAATACATTTTGTACGAGTCACGTATCTCTTGACTGGCCTCTCTTATATCATACTGCAATGAAAACAATCTGTTCAATTTTACTCTAAAATCGAATAGAATCTAGAGTAAAGTGTACCTTGGAGGGAACTCGGTCGTGCTTCTTTTTGAAGTCCCTCTCCCATACTTTGACACGTAGCTTGTACTTTTGGTATTTCTCTTTGAAAATCGATTCGTCCATGTTGAGTACGGCTTAACTTAAATCTACATTTAAACAGACAGTTAGGCAATAAACCAAGCAAGAAACACACACAATCATAACACACCTGTTTTTCGCTGAGCGCGCGCTTTTCTGCCAGTGTTGCTAAACGATTTCATGAGCGTTCCCACATGTTTGCAATATAACCACTTCAGCAGGCAATGCGCGCCAAATCTTAAAGGTTTCGTATAGCGTTTGTTTGATTTTTATTCACTTTATTCGTTTTTCTTTTAATAATAATTCAAAGCTTTGCAGCTGCAATATAAAAATGCATTCCACATGACATTGGAAACGTATGGAAACAATTCAAATTCAAATCAAATGACTGCGTGCAGTGAGTGGACACAGAATTCGTTAAACGAGGAATTACAAGATGCAAATATCAGATATTTTAGAGCGATAATAATAGCGAGCACAGAAACGCTTGTGAATTTCACATTTGCCTATATACTTAATTCAATTAATTAATTAAAGTTAGACTTTTACAGAACCGGATTAGGCTTTGCGCTTTTAAATTAACGTGAACTCGACGAGAATGTAGCTTTTTCTTTCGATTTTTTTTTAGTTTTTTTTTTTTGTATCGTTCATTTGCGTATGCGGAAAGTGCATTTTTGTGATTGGGCCTGTTTCTCTTTCGGTTTTTTTTTTGTGGGGGGGGGGGGGGTTGATGGCGGAACAAATGCGGAACGCTTTTACATGAGTATCAATGCAATATCCTCGGGCTGCATGGGCGGGCAGCGCCAATTGTACAAATAGTACTGCAAATTGCCATCGCCAGCACCAAACTTGAGTGGCGCAAAGAACTTCTTGTTCTCCATCAGGTCGAGGGCATTGTAGACATCCATTTGTACGTTGCGTGCCGAGATCAAGGCATCGTTCATCAGGTCCAGCCACGGTGTTTTCGTCGACACATTGTAGAATGAGTAGGCGGCGCGTAGTGTCTTGTGCACCGGATGATGCATCACGGACGAGGGCAGACAATAGTAGCTGGTTAGATCGGTGATGTTCCCTTTCTCATCGACAACCACAAAGCAATCGATGATGCCCTCCTTGGGCGTGAACCAATGACGAAACTCCTCCTTGTTGAATACGGGTCCCATCGAGAATCGCTTCAGATACTCGTCGAGCAGCTTGTGCGCCTTATCCATGTCCTTGGACGTGATGCGACGATAGCCCTTCGTCTTGGGCTGATCGGGCAGTTTGTAGAGTTTAACGGTGCGCTGCATGGTCATGTTGCGTGCCAAATGCGAGAAGCGCACATCGACCAGCTTTTTCGGATTCAGCGATCGATGCCAATAGCGACAGGTAGAGACTGGAGTGGGCAGCACAACGCCAGCGGTATAGGCAGCCTGAAAGATGCCAGTGCGATTGACGCGTCGCGTTATTTCCCTTATTAGGACGGGAGCAACACGCTTGTTGCGCAACTTTTTGTGCACGCACAGGAAATTAATGTCAACCACTTTCAAAACCTTGTCGTAAGCACGCAATTTGCTGGGTATGGCCGAAATGAAGCCGACCAGTTTACCGGACTTCTCCACCCGGACACCGACGTGCCAGTCACGCTTCCAGCCGGGCGGCTGCAGCGACCACTTGAGGAATTCGGGTTGATAATCGAAACGAAACATGGCATCATCATCCTCAACATAGTTTTCGTTGAGCAGCGTGTACAGCTCCTTCAGATCGGCGGTGTCATTCAAGTCCAACGTTACCCACTTGAAGGCACTGGGCAGGGTGTACGGTTCGGCGCGTATTTCCGTTAAATCCTTGTTGGCCTCGATGCACTCGTTGGTGGTCACCTCCTCATTCAGCTTTGGTACCGGCTGCGTTGACCAGAACGTAAATTTCTCTGCCTGTTGGCGTGTGATGTTCACCGCATCGGTTACCGCCTGCAGCACCGCTTGCTTACCTATAAATTAAAAATGTACCATTAACAAATTTATGCGTGCATCAAAACAAGAAAAAAAAAACACACACACATATATAAACACCATCGCATATTCCTGGCAGCTAACCTAACCTCACTCTAATAAGAATTTCAACGCTAGAGAGACTTTTAACGACTTACTGGAATCTGACGGCAAATTGTTGTAATTTTTGGTTGGCGTCGTCGTCTGATCCGCCGGCTCGCTATTATTGCTGGTGCTCGCTGAGGCAGTTGACCCTGGCCCCACCAATTTCAAGCCGGCAATGGTGCTTGCCAGTATTTGTTCCGATGCTGTTGCTACCTCTTTAGCCTTCTGCTGCAGCTCGCTCTGTTCGCTGTTATCATCTGGACTGGCAGCGGGCGCATTTTCGTTCGGCATCTTTGATTTTGATTTGCGCTTGGAATTATTATTTTGGGGATTAATAAATATCTTAGCAAAAAAAAATAATTGCAATGAAATCGCAAAACTTCAAGCAGCTGACTCAGAACGCAGCTGCCAGATCTCGCACAAAAGAACGACAGCAGCGCTTGCTATCAAGTTAATGTAACAAAAACGACAAAATGGTAACTCTAAAAAGCTGTTTGACTTATCGAACGGATATCGATTATACATACAGCTATCGAGCGTTATATAGATGCGCAATCCACAATAAAACATCAAGAATTGTAAAATATTTAATATCCAAGATCAGCAGGGCGCTAACAAGTAAATCTAGTGTACACTTGCAATTAATATGTTGAAATAAATACAAAATATCTTTCGATAGTTTTACCGCATCTAACTCGAGGAGTGAAGGAAGCTAACATTAATTTCAAAGATCAGTGCCGATAAACCACCGATTGAAGCTCCTTGCGCAATAATTGGATTGAAATTAAGTATTAATAAGGAAAAACCGTTAACGACAGAGTAACGAGGCATTTCGTAAGGCACGCTGTTGTTGACTCTGTTTTGAGCGGGCAGCGAAAACAGCTGTTCCAAGCAAAAACAGCTGAGCGTCGCTCGGCGTGATTGAAAATTACTTCGACTCGCTTTGTGGGTAAACAAAAGTATCAAAATAAACATGCGGGGTTTGTGTGGGACGCGCACTTGCTGATAAGAAGAACTAGCAGCAGCGGAGAACAAATTTGTTTCATTTTTAAATACACCGTCACGCACACACTGCTGTCCTGGTTGTCATCGTTGTCGTCATCACAATGAGCTTGATGAAGAAACGCGTCAAGATTGGTTTTGTCACGGCAATAACACTTGTGGTGCTAATCTATTTTTATAAAACTGTGATCAGCTTCAACTCCAACTCCAGCCCCTTGGCTAATGTGCTCGTCGAGGAGCAGAGGCAGTGGCCACCCACCGAGGATGCAGTGCAGCGTAATCTGCAAATCGCGTACGAGGCGCAAAATGCATTGTTGCATCAACAGCGACAGGAGCTGATGCACACCAAGGAGCAGCTGGCACAGCTGGAGGAGAAGGTGCGCTCTCTGCAGGCGAGCACGCCACGCAAATATCCTAAAGTCAAGTACCTCAACTATAAGAATCGCAAACGTATCCTCATCACTGGCGGCGCCGGCTTTGTAGGCTCCCATCTCGTTGACGATCTGATGATACAGGGCCACGAGATCATTGTGGTGGATAATTTCTTTACGGGTCGCAAGCGCAACGTGGAACATTGGCTGGGACACGCGAACTTTGAACTCATCCATCACGACATTGTGAATCCGCTCTTCATCGAGATCGATGAGATCTATCATCTGGCGTCACCAGCATCTCCGCCACATTACATGTACAATCCGGTGAAGACGATAAAAACGAACACAATGGGCACCATCAATATGCTAGGTCTGGCCAAGCGTGTCATGGCCAAGGTGTTGATTGCGAGCACCTCTGAGGTCTATGGCGATCCCACGGTGCATCCACAGCCCGAGACCTACTGGGGCCACGTAAATCCCATTGGCCCTCGCGCCTGCTATGATGAAGGCAAACGTGTCTCCGAGACGCTCAGCTATGCCTATGCCAAACAGGTGAGGGAATGTGGAAAGATGAGAATACGATACTTTCCGGATTCCAATTTAATTGGAACTTAGGAAAACGTGCAGCGATGCATTGAATTTAATTGCGAGCAAAACAGAAGAGAATTGTGAGCGATGCTTAAATGCCCTAACAAATGGAGCAACTATTTGAGATTGTATATACTTTATATATACACATATAACAACTAGCTGTTATTAGGTTTAACATATTACAAAAACATTGAGAGTCACAAACTGCATGCACAAGTCAATATAATCTCTCAGTGATTAAATCATTTCACGCATGCTAGCGTGTCGGAGCATTGCAATTACAACGCACAACGATAAGATATTAAAAAACATGAAATTACTTGAATGTTTACACTGTTTTTATCCGACACTATTTAATGAGTTGCCTCGTTCTTTTTTTTTTTTAGGAGAAGGTGCAAGTACGCGTGGCGCGCATCTTTAACACGTACGGACCTCGGATGCACATGAACGATGGCCGGGTGGTGTCCAATTTCATACTGCAGGCCCTGCGCAACGAGACGATCACCGTGTATGGGAATGGCAAACAGACGCGTTCGTTTCAATACGTTTCGGATCTGGTCGATGGAATGATTGCACTGATGGCATCCAATTATACGCAGCCGGTGAACTTGGGCAATCCCGTGGAGCAGACGATTGAGGAATTTGCGAAAATCATTAGGCTTCTGGTGGGTGGCACCAGCGAGATCAAACAGATCAGCGCAATGGAGGATGATCCGCAACGACGCAAGCCGGACATCACACGCGCCAAGAAGCGACTCAACTGGGAGCCAAAAGTGCCGCTGGAGGCGGGTCTGAGGCAGACCATATCCTATTTTCGTAATGAGCTGGCGCGCAGCGATCGCTTTCAGGAGAGCTCCCGAAAGTACTTTGAGTCGCCCGATCTGCAGCGCAGTCGGCCGTAATTAATATAAAATACGTAAATCACAATATCAATTCTACATAGAAATGTCAAGTGTGTGCCTGTAAGAGCCAATTTATGTAATTGGGAACGTCTCTAGTCTGCAATATGTAAATAAGACCAACGATAGCGCTAATCATATGCCTTTCTCCTACTCCCCCCCACCTCCTTCACCTTTCCCGCTCAGAAAAAGTGTCCTCTTGTTAAACGTTTAGGTGTTCTAAGGGTATTCGTAATGCCATCCGTCAGCAATCACGGAATATTATAATAGAGTTCAGTGTTATAGAAATAATGATATCAATTTAATGACTTCATCAGGGTTAGTTTCAAATGAAGTTGCAAATACGAAATACCCTTAACGAATTACATAAATTCGACTAATTCATAATTAGTGCATAAGTTGAAATCAGTGTTTTTGTGTGTTAAATTCTGCCTTTTTGTATAATTAGTAGTCAAGTAGTTTTTGATAGTTTTGGTAGTCGATTAAATGGCTTTAAGTTTTCAATACAATATATATAGTTTACTTTACTTTAGTATATATATATATATATATATATAATTCACTTACACATACTATGCACTGACTGTCGACGCTACTATAAACTATATACACTTTATGAGCTAAACCTTGAATGCTTATAATTAGTATTAGTAACTAGCATATAGAACTTAAATCAATATTTGCACCTGGACCTAAAATCTAAATCGCCTGGCAATTTCTGCTGCTGCTGCTGCTGTTGCTGCTTTTTAATTGGCTCACTTTCACCTGGTCAACGGTTCGAGCATCTCAAGAAACAGTTTCTTCATGTTAATTAGCTCATCACGTGCCACTCCACGCCAGAAGCGACGCAGTATTTCGTCCGCCTGGCGCAACGAGGGCAACAGCAACAGCAACTGCTGCTGATGGGAGACGGCGGAGGAGTGGCGCAGCAGGTAGACGACATCATTCAAGGAATTAAGGATGGTGTCGCGAAAGGCACGCAACGAGCTCTGATCGTCCAGCAGTATATCACAATTGGACAGCAGCAGTGCCTTCAGCAGATAGTATTCCTCCCGGCGTGGAGAAATGCGCTCCATGCGCTGTGCAATTTGCACGCAATGATAGTAGAAATCCGTATAGCCGCATTCCTTGGCCAGCAACTCATCCATCCAGACGTCCGTGGCAAAGCACAGTTTGCCATTGAAGGGCAGCGAACGAAATGTTAATTGTAACGTCAAGATCTCTGCCCAGGACACCTGCAGCAGTTTCATTTGATCGTTCAGTGGCAGCTCCATAAAGCCAGGTATCTGCTTGGCCCAGCCAATAACGCAGACCAGCTCCTTATCATAGAGATCGCTCAGCACGCTAAGTATCTCGTGCGGATCATTGTTGTTGTTATTCTGAAAAATGCAAGTGGTCCCATTCGGTGTACTATTGCTGCTGCTCTCCAGCTTAATGCTGCCCGACGACGAGGATGCCTCATCATTGCAGCTCGATGCCGTCGTCGTCGTATGCGGCTGTTGCTGCGCTTGAACGCTGAGCGTGTCCGGTTCATAGGAATTGAGCACAACGAGTATTTTGACGTCGCACAGCGATGTCGTGCTCGACTGATAAAGCAGCTGCATCGTCTGGTACGAATTGGACACCGGATTCCGTCTGTACTTCTGTCGGCCACCACGCACGCGATCCAAACGAACGCCCTCCTGCAACAAAAACATGCGAATTGAGATTAGTAATACTGGTTATTATTTAAAGTTAAATCATTATTAGATCTATTAGATAGATTACAATCTATTGTACCCTTTCTGAGCATGTAGCTCTTCTGTCAATTCTAATTCCAGCACAAGTGCTCCCTCTTCTGTAGGACGATTCTTTCTCATCTTTAGTAAACCGAGTTCGCTGCTGACAGCACCTAGTTTGATTAGCTAACTTCTCAGTCTACAACGTACTGTCCAGGGACCGGTAAGTATTCCAAATTTGTTCTTTCCCATGGCTATTACTTGCTTAAATCGGCTCTGATATTTGGCTTGTCTGCCCAGCTCGCTTATCCCTTCTAAGCTGGAGCTTTCTATACGACAAAACTGTTCTGGTCCTGTTAGGTGCCTCACTGCCCCCATTCTCGCCTCAGCAGCTATATTCCCTCAATATATATTATTTAAAGTAGAATGCATTTTTTAGCTACGATTCTAATTTATGAATATTTTCGATTTCTTATCAACTATACCTTGAGCATGCCCATGAGCAGGCACTTCTGGAAGCGACATGCCTGGCAGGCCTTGCGTCGTCGCTTGTTGATCTCGCACTCGTTGTTGGCGGGACATGTGTATTCGATGTTGCCCTGAATGGTGCGCTTGAAGAAGGCCTTGCAGGCCTCGCAACTGGCGACGCCATAGTGAAATCCAGATGCTACATCGCCACAAACCAGGCACAATCGACGCAGTTCGTCGCGCACAGAGCCGCTGCTCGCGTTGGCGCTTGCGCTGCTCGAGTTGTTGGCACCGCCACCGGAGACACCGCCACATTTGCTATCGCCATCGTTGCTGAGGGAGACGTTGTGCAGATCACAGGACAGGGATGTGGTCGAACTGCAGAGTTGGCGCTCAGGCGACACAGATGGTGAGGATTTCATGCCGCTGTTGCTATTGCTGGAGTTGTTGTGGCCACCACCAGTCGTCGTCGTTGCCTTGGAGCTGGGACTACAGCAGGAATTGCTGGCACCGCCGGCCGATGAAGTGTCCACCTCCTGTTTAATATGCAGCACACTGACGCCGTCGGACATGTTCGAGTGCTGGTTGCTTGAGCTGCAACAAGAAAACACTTTTAATTACCAAGAAAAACACAGTTAATCGTGAAGATCAGTGTTAAGAGGAGCACTGTTAACGACCAAGAAGATCACTGTTAATTAATTTCAACATTTGCATAATCAGTGCTTCTGATTGGATTTGAAATGTCAAAAGTACACGCGGAATGATAAAAGCAGCAGCGCCTCTAATTATTAATGAACGTAAACAACAGCAACAAAAAGAACCTAAATGCGCTTTAGTTTCGACTCAAAGATACCCTAGCTGCGCATACACAATAATCAATTAAATTAAAACAGATTAGATCAGCTTACCATTCTGATTAATAATATTTCTTTTTACATGTGACAATCATTTTTTGTTATCCTACTATACCCGTTTACCACTTTCAAATGTGCACAGGGTATGCAAAAGCAAAAAAAAAATTTAAGTCGCTGCACAAACAACGATTTACTCAAAATGCAGTTAGGATTTCGCTGTGCTCGCTCCATCTCTTTCGCTCGCATAGTACTATGCCTACTTAGCAGGCACTTGGCGCGGTGGAAAAGTACAATAACGAGATAACGGTACTGTGCGTAGAGTGTGTGCACTTGACAAATAGCAAATAGTTAACATTACTATAAATCACGACATAACAGCCTGATTACAAAAAAGAGATGTCCCACACTGAAGAGATGCACGTTTTTAGTGCGCGTTCCCATTTATTGCCAGCAGCCTTATCAAAAGCAACGAGGGGGGTGTGTGTTTGTTGATATTATATATATATATATTTACATATATGTGTATATGTTCGTAATTCTGTGGAATATACTTACATAAAAATTCGTAAAGATCTTGATAAGTTGTAAATGTAATCAACGAGCGTGCTTATATTCGACACAGTTAATTGTAAATTTCAGTGATCCAATCAGAATCCAGTCAATACATTTCGCTATGCACATAACATACATACATAGACATATATATATTTATATTCATGCATATGCATTTATTTTGGTTCGTAGCACTTTGTTATGGCTTTTGTTGTCTGTCTGCCCGTTTGCATCTTCAGCCGTGTCACTTATACAGAAATTTGCGAGTGTGTGTGTTGCAGACAACGTTGCTTGCCTTTTGTTGAAGCGTATTTAATTCCTGTCTGCATTTATAACTATTATGCATATTGCAATTTTTGCGCCCATTAAACTTTTACTCGTATGCTGACTGGAGACGACTGTTTTTGGCACGCTACAAAACGTGGCTTGTTATTGTCAACAGCCAAGCAGCCGTGCGAACTGCCAGAAGGCTACGATTTTAGCATTAGCTTTTTATCTGTTTACGCCAAATATTTACAGATATTTTTTAACACAAATAAAACACACAATAAATAAGACATACATACACAGTACAGAACAGCTGTGGGCACCCTAAGATGTAACATTTTACATATTTCAGTTATTGGCAGAGGCCACTGATTGTTTATTGGGCTTTTTCTCGTTTTTAAATCGGCATGAAATCAAATCAATTATTATTTAGTAATTATAGAGGGTTTTAATGTAAAAATAAATTGATAGATGGCTTTCATAAAGAAAGGAAAAAAGAAAGAGGCGACGTAAATTTAATTTAACAGCTCAAGGGAGTAGCACTATCAAATTTTAACAGAGTCGTAACAGAACAGCTGTTATCGATCACATGTAATGCCAGAACTGTTGATATACTCAAAATTAATATAATAATACACCAAAGGGAAAATAATAATATTGCAAATATCGAACTCTATCGATGCATGATATCGATATTTATGCCTTGCAGAATATCGCCTGCAAATCCAGGCCATCTCTAGTGCAAAACATAGCAAAAACAATTGCGCGATAGAAATAATTTTAGAAATACCATTAAATTAGACAGTTTTAACAATAGAACAATTGTTATTGTGTTCGAGCACGAGTTGCCCAAAGTTCTGATAGCATATAGAAGGTGTTCGAGTCACAGGCAAGTAAGTGCGTTTGCCCCTACGTGTTAGTTTTGTTTTGTTGTTGTTGGTGCTTATCAGCCCAAAATACACCTTTCCCCATATGCACATATATATTTATATATATGTCTATATCTGCTTTGTTACTTCGCCTAAATACTACGCAATCCACAATAAAATGCTGCCCATCCCTGCAGCATATTTTGAAGTTAATTCACGTTGACTTGAACTTTGTTATGCTATTTGTTGTTGTTGTTGCTGTTGTTGTTATTGGCTCCACCCACTGAAAATAGAATTCGATTTCGTTACTTATTTGCAGGCGAAACAGAGACAAAATGATGAGCCTGCTTGGGCGACCCGATGTTGATGCGGGCGAGGTGTTTGTCAATTTCAATCAAAACATAACGTAAGTGAAATTGAACTCTAATTAATGTATATGTATGCAAGACTTTAACTTTGATGTATCTATATATTTATATATGTATATATTTATTTAGTTCTCTGGCTGTGGCAACCAGTGGAAGTTATAGCCTTTATAGTCTCGGTTCCGTTGACTCAACACTGGACAAAATCTATACAACAAAGAGCGATGATCTATTTCTGATCGAGCGTCTTTTCGAGAGCTCTCTGGTTGCCATTGTGTCGCAGCGTGCGCCACGCAAACTGAAGGTGTGTCATTTCAAGAAGCAGAGCGAAATCTGCAATTATTCGTACTCGAACACAATCCTGGCCGTCAAGCTGAATCGCGAACGTTTGATTGTCTGCCTGGAGGAATCGCTGTACATCCACAATATACAGGACATGAAGGTGGTGCACACCATACGCGATACGCCCTGCAATCCGTTAGGCTTGTGTGCGCTCTCCTCATCGTCGGATCACTGTTATCTCGCCTATCCGGGCAGCGTGACCTCGGGCGAGGTGCAGATCTTCGATGCGATCAATTTGCATGCCAAGACAATGATACCGGCCCATGATACACCGCTCGCTGCCATCGCGTTCAGCCCGTCGGGCACAGAGATTGCCACGGCCAGTGAGCGTGGCACCGTGATTCGGGTCTTTAGCGCCCAGGATGGCAGTCGGCTCTTTGAGCTGCGTCGTGGTCTCAAACGTTGCGTCTCCATTGTCTCGCTCTCGTTCAGCTCTTGCGCCGATTACTTGGTATCCAGTTCGAATACGGAGACGGTGCACATATTTCGTTTGGATCGCAGCACTGCCGATAGCAATGATCATGGGAAACAGTCCAGCGACGACTGGATGGGGTAAGCGCAGGGGGGAGGAGGTGTTGGGAGATGTTTTTGTTATTTTGTGGTCGCTCGGTATTTTTGAATTACCAGAAAGTAATCAACCGGTAATAATCATTTAATATTTAGTTTTGCTTTTGTAAAAATATCATTTTTAATTAATAGAATCCTTTTCAATTTAAAATCAGCCCTTGAACTTGAGTTTAACTATTTGAGCGACCACTGTACTAGCTTATAATTGTTGTGTAGCTAATGCTGTATGTTGGTTATGGTGTATATACTACATATATACATATAAATAGATATTTTTATACACATACACTCCCCTCAATCCATTTTTTTTTTTGTGTGTTGCACTTGACATTTAACTATTTTTCTTTTCTTTCATTTTTTGGTAAACCACCCAAAAACAAACCACCAACCACCATCACAACCACTCATCAAATCTATTCTCTCATGCAAGTTACTCGTTTTTTAGATTCTTGAGCAAAACGGTGACCAGCTACTTGCCGACCCAGGTGACCGATGTGTTCAGCCAGGGACGGGCTTTTGCCTCGGTCACGCTGCCGGAGGCGGGTGTGCGACGCATGTGCGCCATTACCACGATACAGAAGCAGCTAAGGTGAGTCCACTCATAGTATATTATTATAGTATATATCATCAAATGATCCTCCTTTGCAGGCTGATGATTGCTTCACAGGACGGTTATTTGTATGTGTATTCCATACCCTCGGTTGAGGGTGCAGAGTGTCAGTTGATAAAGCGACATGATCTTCGCCTGGACGATAATTATGCCATGGATGTCAAAGGTGCTTAGAGTAAATGCAATATACCCATACACACAGACACACACCATCAACACACACACACCAATACCAAAAACAAATTATTTAGTTGACTCACCTCATACTTCAGGTCTGAACAGTAATGTTAGCATTGGTGGTGCTGCCGGTGTTCCAAGTGGTGCTGCTGCAGCCGCTGCTGCTTCTGCTGGAGGCGATGGCAAGGCGACAACTGACAAGCCAGGTAGCTCAACGGGCGGTGGAAATGCTGGCGCCAGCTATGCCTCCGCCGTTAAGGGCGATGAACCGCCGGCCGGCTCCTCCACCTCCTCGTCCACTTAGGTGCAATTCAACAACTCACTCAAAACCAACCACAGCAACAGAAGACGAAGAAGTACATCAAACATAACTTAAAGAAAGAAAGAATGAATGAATGAAAGAAAAAAAAGGCAGAACTCACTCCTCAAAGTACTAAGGACGACGATGATAAAAGTGATTGAATTTGGGTCATGCAGCTGGCGACGTGTGTGTGGCGCAAACAAAAATAAGTAAATAAATGAAATAGGTCTTAGACTTAGCTTTTAACATTAATCAATGACGATTCTTCCTCGGTTTATAAGTAAAAAGTTAAAGCATACATATATAGATCCAAGCATTATTGAGTGACAAGTTAAAAAATGAAGAAAAAACCCTTCCTCAAGCAAGCAATTTTTTAGTTTTAAGTTATGTTCGTGGCGCTGCCATTGGTAGAGAATATGCTTTTGTCATACAATTTTAAGTTAGCTGTTATAGTTTTTTAAATTTAATATTTACACACTTGCTTTCAACATTTAATCACTTATTAAATAAATCGCCTTTGTAAATTTATAAATATGAATAATTTATTTTTATTTCCGTTTTATCCCTCGACAATCCACCGAGAAATCTCACGCATTACCTATAATTTCTTTGTTAACTACACACAGCTTTACTCAGCGCATTAGCATGTTTAATGTTATATTTGCAATTACAATTATATATATATTATATATAAATATCAAAATAATCAACAAACCACAAAAGATTGAGTGAAAACATCAAATTTGAAGTGCGCAATGGAGGAACAATTTTCGGCATATATATATATATATATACTCTTAAATATATATTTTGTACAAAGTCAAACATTTTAGAACATAATATTTAAAGCAGTTTACAAAAAAAAAAAAACACAATCATGCGCTACTTTATTGTATTCAATAAATTACAAATTTGATTTATTTTTTTGGTCATTTGAATTTCGCGCGCAAGCCCTAGTCAAAAATTGAACGATTATCGATAATTATGAATCAGCCCTAACATCAAATGAATCGAGTAGTTTCTTGCCATTCAAGAAATGCATACGATATTTATGCACCATCCCTAGAGTGAAATTGCTCACGCACACAGGAAGAATTACGGTCGGCTAAAAGTATAAACAGTTCTTCGTGCTTGTTTATTTGTATAAATTGTTTATAGGACTTGTGTCCTGCAAATAATGCAATAGGTGCCTGACATTAGGCAGCAATTGAACGTTATGAAGGAGAACAACAAGATCCTTCAGCTGATTAATGTGGCGTGGCGTGAACGCTGGTCCGACTCACAATGGGGCATTAACATAAAGAAGGTAAAAAAAAAGAAAAAAAAAACAAATATTTATAAATCACTCAAAGTTGAGTTGCCAGACATACAGCGTTTACATTGAGAATTTTATTGAACACAATTTATCATTGCTACACTCTACCCCCTCTGCTACACCCGCCCTGAATTATACATTACTTTTGTGGAACTCGAAAACGGGCTCCTCGGCTTGGGCCAGGGCGAGCACCAGTTGGCGTTGCTTCACGGACAAATTGCACGGGATGCGCACCTTGAGCGTTATGATGTGATTGCCGGCACCTTCGCGAGTGCGCACTCCCTTATTCTTGAGCACCACTTTGGTGTGGGACTGCGTGCCGGCCTCGACGCGCACATCGACATTCTCGTAGAGACCGGGTACCGAAAAAGTGCCGCCCAATATCGCATCCGATATGTTTAGATACTTATCCGTATGGATATCGTTGCCGACACGACGAAAGTAATCATTGGTTGGCACCTGCAGATGATAGTTGACCCGCTGCCTTGTATTCGGATTATCAACGCTGACCACATCTCCTGCCTTAGAGCCCGCCGGCACTGTGATGAGCACCTCCACATTGCCCAGGACATAGCCACGATTGTGGCATGTATCGCAATCATTGCGATTGATATAACGCTTTCCCTTGCACTGGCTGCAAGTGTTGACCGCTGTGTAGGTGACCGTTTTGGTTGTGACTTTGCCGGTGCCATTGCAGCGTCTGCATGGCTCTTTGCCCACATCCCGATTGGCCATTAGCTGCGATTTGCCCTTGCAGCTATCGCATTTGAGCAAATAACGCAAATCCAAACGCTTCTTACAGCCAACGGTGGCCTCCACAAATGTCAGCGGTAAATCAAACTCGCTGCTAGTCAATTTTTGGATTTCTAAGGAAGGAGGAGAATTGTGGATGAAATCTAATAGTGGGAATACAGTCCTTACCCTCTTGACTGGGAACACCTGCATCATCTAATTTGAGCGACATGTCCATGTGCATTGGATTGCCGGCTTGCTCGAGAAATGCCTGCTCATCCTTAATGCCACCCAGTTGATCGTATTCCAAACGTTTTGTTTCATCCGTCAATATGTTGTAGGCATTGGATAGCTCCTGAAAGTGTTTCAGTTTCTCCTCGGAGTGCATGGAGTCCGGATGATAACGCTTGGCCAGCGCATAGAAGGCGCTGCGTATTTGCTGGACGCTCGCAAGCCGATTAACGCCCAGCACCTTGTAGTAGTAGTCCTTGGGCAGGCCACGTTGCTGTTGCGGCCTCGCAACAGGCAGCGACTGTTTGGTCGCCATCAGTGTTGGACGCTTTATCTCCGAGCTGCGATCCGGATAGTAGACTTCCTTCTTGGTGCGAAACTGATATTGACTAATCAGACGCTTCCACTGCGATATATTGCCGGCTTGGGCTTGTGCTTTATTGTGCTTTAGTCGCAACGGCATCTGCAGCAGCTGTGGCTGTCGTCTCAATCTCAATGATCCACTAAAGAAACTCATTAAATTATTCTGAATACGTAGCAAACTTGGGCGTAACATCCTTAAGCGCGCTTTGGAAATGAAAATAACTATATATAAATATTTTGTGTATTTGTAAGCGCTTTAATTACAAATTAAAGTTTGTATTATGTTTGTCTGTAAATACGTAGACTTTTGTACATCTCAAAACTCTAATGACACCTTACACAACTCTCACTTGGTTAGATCCCAAGCCAGAGATTCATTCATGGGGATAACTGTTCCATCTGATAGTATTTATATGATCAGGGACAGCCTCGGGTCGCCAGCCAGAATTTTTATAGCAGATGTAATTGATACACTTATGACAATTTTAATTAATTAGTTATATAAATAAATTAATTTCACATTTACATTGATGGCAATTCCCATATTACAGGTCTTACCACGAGGTGTTAGCGGCGATGTTTACAATTTGGCCGACTGTCTCTTGCAGCAGGCTGTGATCGGCTCCACAGCGAATCCAGTAAGTGAAGAACCACATCAACCGGAAACCATTTCTCTAACCCTTTACTCCTTACCAAGTAGCTGGTGTTGAACTATCTGAAGCACTCGCTGTGCGCCCATCTTGTCTCGCATGCGGCTGTTCTTCGCTGCATCGCCAAATATGATAAACTGGGACGCGTCTATTGTGTAACTGCTTTGCTTGAGTTTCTGGTCAGCATTATAGATGGCATCACCTGTCGGTAAGTGTCCAAATGTGGAGGGAAAACTCCCCCTACCAACCTAGGGATAAAAGTAGTAACCCTCAACCCGACGAAGATTCTCACATTCGTACAAGAATTAGGATCGATGGTTAAGCAGATCTAATAATAAATCGCACTGTGTAAACATATTTGAACATCAAATCTAAAGCAAATTTTATCTTGCCAGCATTAAATCGGAGGAGACGCTGCTGCCTGGTGCCATGGTGCAGCTGGTGCTGTGGATCATGCAGATCTTTGCCAGGACACTGCAGCAATACGAGATGCGTGGCGAGCTGAGCGCCGAACAATCTTATATGTTGGATCAGAGCTGCCTGCTCGTCGAGCACCTGACGAAGCAACAGTTCGCTTTGGCCATGTTGAATGTGGGCTGTCACGAGGAAGTGGATTCGCTGGACAAGATGCGTGAACTGTATGCAAGCATCAAGGGATCGCTGACCAACTCCAATTTTACGTTAAGCTCAGCCACGGCGGAGCAGCAGTTGAAACAATTAGCGTACATTGATGCCAAACAGTTGGAGTTGCAATCCTTGAATCCACTGCCATCGGCTGAGAAGATCTCCTGCTGTGTTCAGCCACTGCTTGCGGTTGAGGTGCTGCTCAATCCCTGCAAGGACACCTCATACTATGTGGCCGAATTGCAAATGCTGCAACGTCTCAAGGGTTATACGAATACCCGTCTATTCTATGAGATTATACGTGCCGGTTTCCTCACGCTCAGCAATGTGGCGGACACCAGTCCGGATACCATGTGGGGTGCTTTTATGCTCTTCAAAATGCCGCACATTATCAAACAGCTACACACACTGCAACGTGTGCCGGGTGAGCAGCCATTGCCCCCCACAGACTACATACCGGAACTGGTCGAGGCGTTGGAGCTGCTCATCGAGGATAATTTGTTGCTAGATTTCATGGCCACGAAATGCTCGTGCAATATCATTGACTTCCTTCTCAACGACTGGACCAAACAGCAGCTAGTCAACGATGTGCATGTCAAGAAATTCGCCAGTCAGCGGTAAGACATATTCTTGGTGTAGATCTCCTCCTTGTAACTAACACTTCACTTGCAGTGAGGCCGCCTCGCTGCTGCTCAAGAAATGCGTCAATGGCCAGCAGACGCCGTCGAACATAAATTACATTAAGCGTGCCGAGGTGCCTCTTTCGGGCGTACTTAAAACGCTCTGCACAAATAAGGTGCAGGACATGGTGAATGTTCTCTGCCAGGTGCCAGTGGGCAATAACTTTGAGCTGATACTATCTGTGGCCACCGTGGAGGGTCTCCTCAAGACTTTTGTCTCGCGGCTGATTCAGTGCAACGAGAACTCCAAACAGGTGCCCGGGGAACTGGGCAAACTGTCCGTAATACGCTCCACGCTGTTCGATGTCTCCTTCCTGATGCTCACCAGCATTGTGCAGACCTACGGATCGGACGTGAGTCGACGCCTATTCCCCTTTTGATCAGTCTGTATTTCAAGTGTGTGTTTTGCAGGTGGTGCTGTCGGAGCGTGGCGACTCCTTCTTCGAGAAATGGGTGCGCGAATGCATGATGGAGCGCAATAAGCTGAAGAATCCCCGACAGATCTTGGCACTGTGCGATGATAGCATTGTGGATGAACTGCTGCTGAGTCTGAGCAAACCGGAGGCGGCGGCACAACTGAAACAGCCCAGCAGTCTTACCTGGCAGGACATCTGCCTCAATCTGCCCGGTGTGCTACATCACGTGCTGATTGCCTGGGAGCAGGAGACTCTATCCTCTGCGGATGTCAAGAGCATTTTGGACAACATGAAGCGGCGTCTGTTTAGCTTCTCCGTCTGCGCCACCTCCTTCCTGTGCGCCTACATGTATTCCGTACGGGAAACGGAGTTGCTCAAGCCCCTGAATATGATTCAACAGTTTTTGGCACCGCTCACCACCGAGGAGCTGTCCAGCCAGGAGAATTCCAAGGAACGCCTCGCCCTCTCCTACCAGGTCATACGCAAAATGCAGCACGATGTGCATCCGGCGCCCAACACCAAATCCCGTCTCATCTCGCACACACCGCTCATCGAACAGTTTCGCGAATGCTGGCGCAGTGTCCATGACGCCGGCCATCTGCCGGTGCGTGCGGCACAGACACTGGAATCGCTGCTGCTGGCTGGTGGCGCCTCCTGGCTGGTCACCCAACTGGCGGAACAGTTGCTCAGCTGCAAATATATGCGGGATATGGCCAAGTGCATGGACATTGTATTCGCTGTGATGCATCTGGACATTGAGCGCAGCACGGAGGCACTGCTGCAGTATGTGGTGGCACCATTGATTCTACGTCGTCAGGGGTAAGTAATCCTAATACAAGTTGCCTCATTGATTGATTCCATATTCTAATCCCCTGCAGCGATGACATCAATGAGCCGCAATCTCTGGTGCTGGCCCGACTCTGTGTTTACTGCATCATTTCCTGCCTGGAGACGCGCAGTTTGGCTGCCGGCGCACTGAAGAAGCGTTCACGTTCCCATGACGAGGATGAACTGCTGTCGACGAGTGCGGCCAAGGTGCGCAAAGTGTTTAGCGAATGCAGCGATAATTCCAATGAGGCCGCCACAAATGCTGTCGCCTCCATGCTGGTGGGCGGGGGCACAACTCCCAACACCGACTTGCTGCGTGCCACACCCGTCAATCTCAAGGAACCGCTGCACTCGAGCGTTAAGCACATTTTTCGCGTCTTTCTGCAATTCGTCAGCGGCGATGAGCTGTCGCCCAAGGCCGTCTTCGTCTATCAGTTTATTTCGCTGCTCGTCGAGTGCGGCGGTGAGCGGGTGGCGCCCGTGCTCCGCCTGCTGCCCCCCAATCTGATGCAACAGCTGCTTAAGGTGCTGGCCACCGATGATATACGCGTCGGCCTCATCAGTCGCCTCTACGATCTGCGAGCGCAGAGCGGCCGTCAGGCCGCTGTCGCCGATCTGTGTCTGTGGCGCAACATGCAGCTGGCGCGGCACAGCATCCATCTGTGAGCTGCGAGGGCTGATCAATAAGATCTAATAAATGGCTTATCGGGTTTAATTGATAATTACTGAATATGAACTTATGCGTATTAAAAACAAAAATAATGAAAATAAATGTACCTTAGGCTTGTTTCGATGTATATATGCGCCCGATCTTAACCATTTGTATTTAATCAATTATTTAAACTTAATATGATGCAACGCTTCCAAATACTATTATTTATATATATCGAGGTCATGCTACGGAGGAGGAGCGACAATTATTAGTTCTTGGCAATCTTCACAATGCATTTTACAAATATGGATGACAAAAAAATAATATAAATATACATATATATATATATATGTGTGTGTATGTATATATATTATATTTAATGCATGCTACTGCAAATGGTTTTTGGACTAAAAAATTGTTGACTCGACTCGGTTTTCTGTTTTGTTGTTGTTTTTTTTTAGGTTCGCAGTGTTTGTTTTTATTACTGTAATTTGTTGTTTGCTGATGCGGCCAAATCTGCCTGCTGCTAACTGCAACCGTTAGCGTGTTGCAAGCTGTTGTTGTTGTTGTGTATAACTACTAATAAAAGCGCGTCCGCTGTTGGGATTGTTGTTGGCATGATTCCGATTGGATCTCAGGCAGCGGCAGCAGGCAGCAAGCAGAGGCCGTTACTTAAATTAAAGACTTTTGATTTCCTATATCACTTGAGACAGCATTCAAAATAGGTCTCCCCAACGCAACCGCCGCGCATTGCACGCTTCACATTGTGTTCAAATTGGCGCTTGTTGCTCTGCAGCACATCGGCTGCCTCCTTGTTGAGCGGATCCTCGGGATTGGGTTCCTTGCAAAAGTAATACGAATTATAATTATATTAGCCGTATAATTATTGATTGTGTCAGCATTTACCAGGAAGAGAAACTGCAAGCCATAGACAATGGAATTTATGGTCAGCACTGGATTCCAGTCCTCGCGCAATATGTTTAAGCACACATTGCCCTCCAGATCGATGTTGGGGTGATAAACTTGCGTCGCGCATTTGACCTTCGGCGGCTCATGCGGATAATTGGAGCCGACGCGAAAATTGAATACGAAGCGACCATCTCTGTAGAAGCCCTCATCTGGTGAAATGATCAATTTGAAATTGAGCAAGTCATCGCTATCGGGAAACTCCGTTGCACAAGTTTTTGGCAGGTTCAGTTCATTAATATCTAAGAAAAATATATAAATAATTATATATATATATGTAAGTGTGTGTGTGTGCATATATATATATTATATTTAATTATTTCAAATACCTTTCTGTATGCGCAGCTGGGCGGCGGAGGCTTTTTTTTGCTGGCCGCGTGCCGTTTGATCGCCATCCTTTTTTTGTTGCTTCAGCGAGAAAAGTTTAATCATATTTTTATTTTCTTCTTTTCTTTTGCTTTATGTTTGTTTGCCTGCTTGGCGCTGCTTGCTGGCGTCGTCGTCGTCTTCGACTTCTGTCGCTAATCACTGCGATTCGATTGCAGCCTGCTGGTTGCTTTCTGTTTTGTTGCGTTGCGTTGTGTGTTCGAAGGTTGCGCATACGTTGTGGGTTTGTTAATAAATGTTTATACGATTTGTCATTCGGTTGAATTTTTTCTCTTGGTCTTACCTAGAAATTTAGTTTGCTTGTTTCAAGTGATTGCTTCTTCTTACAACTCTTAGCTCTCAATTTCTCTGACTGTCATTCAATGCCACTACTATCGATTGCCATCATCGATATTCGTTTGAGTTTTTTGTACTATGCGAATTTTACAGCACTGCACTGATAACCATAATAAGCATCGATACTACTTATCGACAATATTGTGTCGCACATGTTGTGTGAAACGCGCAAAAACAAAGCAATTTAATTTGTAATGTCTGGTGAGCCTGAAATTGCCAAAGATGCTGTACTCAAGCGTAGCGAGCCCATACCAGTGGATACGCCGCAGGTGCACGGTTATGAATTTAACCAGGGCATTAACTACAGCAAACTATTAGAGTCCTATTTGCACACCGGTTTTCAGGCCACAAATCTCGGCCTGGCCATCAACGAAATCAACAAAATGGTAAGTTAATTTTGCTAAGCTGAAGTGAAACAAAAAAAAGCAATACTAAACATTGACAGTTAGATTGCAGGGCTCAGCCGCTGGATGCCGAACAGGAGGATTTACACGAGACGGATGAGTTTATCCGGCGTCGCAAGAAATGCACCATTTTCTTGGGTTACACATCGAATCTGGTGTCCTCGGGCTTGAGGGAGACACTCCGTTTTCTCGCTGAGCATCGTATGATCGACTGTATTGTGACGACAGCCGGTGGAGTGGAGGAGGATTTCATCAAGTGCCTGGCGCCGACATTTTTGGGCTCCTTTGAGCTGAGCGGGCGAGATTTGCGAGAACGTGGCATAAATCGCATTGGTAATCTGCTGGTGCCCAATGACAACTACTGCAAGTTTGAAGATTGGCTAATGCCGCTGCTCGACGAAATGCTGGAGGAGCAGCGCAGCAAGGGCACCGTTTGGTCGCCCTCACGTATTATCCAGCGATTGGGCGAGAGAATCGGGGATACCAGTTCCATATACTATTGGGCGGCAAAGAATCAGATACCGGTCTTTTGTCCCGCTTTAACCGATGGCAGTCTCGGCGACATGATGTACTTTCACTCGTTCCGGCAGCCTGGTCTCGTTGTGGACATATTGTCGGATTTGAGGCGCCTCAATACGATGGCCGTTAAGGCGGTCAACAGTGGCATGATTATTGTCGGAGGTGGCCTTATCAAGCATCACATTTGCAATGCGAATCTGATGCGCAACGGCGCCGACTATTCTGTGTTCATAAACACCGCCTCCGAGTTTGATGGCAGCGACAGTGGAGCACGGCCCGATGAGGCCGTTTCCTGGGGCAAGATACGCAGGGAGGCGACACCGGTTAAGGTGTATGCCGAGGCCAGTCTCGTATTTCCCCTCATTGTCGGCGAGACCTTTGCCAAACGGCACTTTAACCACAAGGACACCACATTGTAATCGTCTCTCTTCCTCTTTCTCTCTCTCTATATATATATTGTTATAAATATAGTAAAATGTATTCTTTAACGACCCATGGAAAAAGTAGTGCAATTTTCTGCTGGCCGCACTCCAACAACCACTTTGAGGCACAATAAGAAACTCCGCTCAGTCTCCAAAGTGTTGTGTGCTTAATGCAGCCAGAATGTGGTACAGTGGTACCTCCTCACATTATTTCAACCTGTAAAAGTTACAACTGTAATGAAATCGGTTTTGTTTCTAAGGTGCCTTGTTGTATTCTAATTTTGAATCGATATAAATTATTGACATACGAAGAAATTAACATATTTCTATTTATTTTGCAAAAAACTTTACTTTATTATTGTCTTATACTTTTTAAAAATATCGTTCTACAATTGGTAAAAAAATAACTTGATTGATCAACTTTAAACTACTAAAAAGTGTCCTTTTCCATTTCCAGAAATGTGCTTTATTATTGTCCTATATATATTTATTTTATTCTTTTACATTTTAATGAACAAACGAAAGTTCTGAATTCGTTGGTCTGTGATAAGAAAGTGTTTATGATTTTGAATCAATCCCGTCTCGCATTGTATCACTGTACCAAGAAAACTGGCTAAGCAAAGCTGTCAGCCACAATGCAGGCAATGGCAAGCAGCTGGAAGCCATTAAGCGTCATCGTTGCCTGTGAGATGTGCAAAATGTGATAAACGCAACAAGCGTCGTATTTTCGACTCCAATGGGTAGTTTGAGTGGTCGTCGGTTAGTTGGCACTCCTGACGCACTCCATCCTCCCCATTTCCAGCAATCTAATGGTTATGCAGTTCACCTCGCCAAGCAGCAGCAGTAGCACCAGCAAAAATGCAACTTTTGTTGAGCATTTTAATAGCATGAAATGAAAATTGTGCTCCAGCACAGACCACAGCTGCGACTGCTGCTGCATCTCCCCCTGTTTGCCAATAGGCAAAATGGCAACTACGTCTTTTGGTCGTAATTGCTTGGGTTTGCTGGCAATGCACATAAATATTCCTTGGTGACTTTTCACTTTTGTCATATTTTCCCATTTCGCATTTTCCGCTTAATAGTCCGAAATTGTTTTGGGAACAATGCATTCGCTATAAGCTCACAAATTTGTCATTAATTTTATGTCGCTAATGTTGCCGCGCGGTTCTCCTTTCATTTTCTTTTTGCGTCTCTTCAAATTTTATGTTTATTGCACCCCTCCCTCCCCTAAAAGAGCATATCCTCTTAGTCTGGACCAAAAGTTTTGCTGTCTGTGCGCATCATTAAAGCCAAAAGGAAAACTTTTTCGCACACTTATTTTTTCCACCCGTAATTCATTTTTCGTCTATCTCCCTCTCTCTCTCTCTCTCTCTCTCTCTATCTTCCGCTTCGACTGTTGGTGTTACATATTTTGAGCTATTGTCAGGCAGAAGATGGTAGAGGGGTAAAGCGGTAGGAGGGGGGTTTTGCTAACATTGCTGCAGATGCATTTTCTTTTGCGCAACTTTATATGCAGCCGCAACTTTATGGTCCTTTTGTTTTTCACTTGAAATATGAATGGAAGTTCTGGCAACCATCATTTGTAGATAAACTATATATATGATGTATATCAAAGTTTGTTATACAAAATAAAAAAAGACCTCTGCTTTATCTAATTTATAAACTCTTTGGCATATTTTGACAACTGACGTTGAACTGTTTGAACTTTGTTCTTATTGAGTTACCTTTGGCTTAGTCAAATTTATAAAATTGTTTGTATTTTCGCAATAAATTTGTCGTAAAGTGTATATTTTCTTTAACAGCATCTCTCAGAACGTATGCATTTAAAAAAGAGCTATATTTGTGTGCCTATTTCTTATGGGACAATCCACGCCATCGGCACCTCGTGATCCATGTGAATGCAATGAATGCGATTCAGATGCATTCAATAAAGCAACAAACTAATTATATTCGGAACTCCTACAAGAACGGAAGGAAACGGCTTCTGCAGTTGACCCATGCGAGAGAGTTTGAACTGAAAGTGATTAACAATTATGTACTATATATATTTAAACACGAAAGTGCATTAGAAATGTGTAACATGAATTGGCAACATATATTTTTGAAATTGCGACTAAATAAATAATCGAAAAATGTGTGATGATGTTGCTGGTAATAATTAATAATTTTGCTTATTAATTTATTGATGCCTAAAAGAATATTGATATTTAAATCGAGCACAGCAGTCTTTTCTTAATATTTATAGCATACTCTTAGGCGAAATCAAAAATAACCACAACTGTCAGTTGCCGACAACAAGGCTGCCCCCATTTATGGGACGCGACTGTAAAGATTCTGAAAACGTACAGCACACATTTAGTCCATGTCGTGGGCACTCTCAATTTATAGGACTGCAGTGTAGTTCAGTTGCTGGCGCAGTGCAGCAAAAGGCAGTAAACTATAATCCAAGTTGGCGAAACTTGGCAAGAAAATCAATTGCACTTATTATCGTGGCGCCCATTATCGGCAGCCACGCAGGCCAGGCCAGCATTGTCGTTAAGAAGTGCTTAACTGCATGCTGTCATATCTAATGCCAAGCACACACACACACCAACAAACACACACACACACACATGCAGCGCTTAAGAACTAATTACGAGCAAAGCTGTTTGTTGTTGCTGCTTCCTTTTGCTGCTGCCGTGCGAAGTGCGTAGAATTTCGCCAAGTGCATTGCAGCCAGCCAAGTTGTGCGCTGTGTGTTTTTGTTGTGCTGGCCAAGTTTCCAGTGATTACGAGCAAATTAAAACTACATTAAAACTTTGGCGAGTCCAGTTCCTGGCAATTGACAAGCACACACATATGCCATAGCCTATGTGTGTGTTGCAGGAAACTCTCAAGACGTTATTGATTTTAGTATTAGAAAAATGTATCTTAGCCTTGCAGAAGGATGCATAATTGCTCACATCTAAATAATATTATCAAGTAAGAAGTTGATGGTTTGCTACATAAAAAAAATGAAGAAAAGATAAACTTTTAATTCATTTTTAAATAGCATTATAATCCGCGTAACAGGTAAGATTCTATATTTTTTCGAGACAGAATATCACAAATATATCACAAAACAAGCAGAATTTGAAAACGATGAAAACATGAAATATGAAATATAAAATTGGAGCAATTTTCCCCAGCTAGGGAATCTGTGCATCTCGCAACTGGGGCAGATCCCGCTTTAGCTGCGATAATGATAGGGACTCTGGATCCGGATGGCATTCCGAGCAGCCGCAACTGTAATACATAGATTTGCTGCTATGGCTCCATTGGTTAGGCGAAGGCATCTTCTCTTCCTGGTAGCTGCCAGCTCTTGGATAATACTGCACAGTTGACGCCGCCTGCTGTTCCCAGAAGATGCGCTCCCGCTCTTTGAGATTCAAAACCCGGGTCTCCAGCTGCTTGCGTTCCACAGCCAGTGAGCACTGGTCGCGATGCAGTAGCTTCACCTTGGTGTGCAGCGTTTCCTGCTGTTGCTTGAACAGCTGATCGTATAGAATGCGTAGATTCTCCTCTTGTCTCTCGCCTGCCTGCTCCAGCAGAGTGCGGAGCACTTGCTCCAGCTTGCGATCAAGCTCGGCGAGTGGATGCTTCATTGCTGGTGCCTCGTCCAGTAAGTCTTTCAAACTGTTGCTTAGGAAGTTCAGCGGTCCATTTGCAGGCGTCCAATCCTTTAGACGCCGTATGGCCTTCAGAGTGTTGCGCTCCAGTTGCGGCAGCAAGGATTGAATGTTGCGAGGAGCATTCTGTTCCAGTTGAGGCAAGGACTTGCGAGACTGCCACTTGGAGGCGTTTTGCCTGTAAAGCTGCTCATCTTCCACGGAGCGGGCGTGCAACTGATTAATCTCCCTGATGAGCGCCTCATTATCGTGACTCAACTGCTCCAAGTGGAGATGGTCCTGTGTGTCGCCACTTGGATGGAGCTTCAGCTGCTGGTTGGGAGTAGGAGCCGTCGGCAGCTCAATCAGCCCATCGCTCTGCCCAAACTGGAGCTGATTCAAGTCGGCAGTTTTTGGGAATTCAAATCGGGTATTCAGTGTACACGGCTGCAACTCGACCGGGAAAGAGTCTTGTGTGGTAGAGTAGACGGGATCAAACTGGATGTCCTGTGTGTCGGAGTAGAGCTGCGGCGGGATAGGAGTGGGTCCTGTGGATGAAGAACGACTGCTGCCACCGCCATAGTTTGATCTATTTGAATCCATAATCGATTCAGCATCCTCATTCACATTCTCATAAATATGCTGTTGCTGCATGTGCTGATCCCTTAAATGTTCCTGCTGCTGCTGCTGTCTTTCATCCTTGATCTGGCAATGATACGCACTCAGCACATCCTCGAGCTGTCTGCGCATGTTCTCCATCTCAGTGAAGGGCATTCCCAGTCTGCCCATCTCGTTCAACTGGCTGTACATGAGCAGCATCAGACAGTTCCTGGCACACTTGTCCTCCTTGTCCGCCTTGTGGAATCTCTGCACCCAGCGCTGGCTCATCTCAAAGGTGGATTTGCTAATTTTGTCCGTATAAACATCGCTCATTATCCGCAGCTGGGACAGGAAGTGACGATCCAAAGCATTCTCGTTCATTTCACTCATTTTGCTTAGATTTATAGATCAATAGCGATCTATAGATTCAAATGATTAAGAAATTTATAAAAGATTTTTCGAAATTTTCTATCTTTCAAGGACTGTTTGAAAGCTAAAAGATGAGAATACAGCTGACTCGAAGTGAGCAAAGTAGAAAAGGAACTATGTTAAAGTTTTTTGAAAGTCTACAAGTATATTCAAAGAGTCGCATAGAGAGATAGAGAGAGAGAGAGAGAGAGAGAGAGAGAGAGCGCGATAGAAATTCTAATAGCTTCAAAGAAATTAAAGCAGAAAAGTTTTATTAAGTCATTTAACGAATTAGGCCTAAAACCTCTTCTTAATTTAAGTTTCATTTTATCAATGTTTTTTTTTTTGATTTTACCTCATTTTCCTTTTAGACCTTCATTTAACGGCAATTTCTTCATTTTCTTGCGTTAAATTGTTGCTAATTTAATTTCCGGGGCGCTTCTAAACCTTTTTTCCCAAGCAACGTTGATGAAAATGCAAAGCGACGCTTGGGTCGCCATTTGATAACTATTCAAATTACTTGAATTTCAAGTTTATAGCTACGATACATTTACCAAGCCATTGAAGCGGTCCTGCAGAAGGGACTCTAGTGTCGATTATCACAGAGGTCAATGGTAATCCACAAACTGTTCGCACCTTGCCGGCCAACAAAATTGCACAAAAATGCCTCAAATACCTTCCACCA